GAGAGGGGACTTCTTCACATTTCAAGATATTTTTATACAATTCGGGAAACACGCGCATGTAATTTTTATTTCAATTTCTTATAATATTTAGGAACAAAAAATATGTTTGATACAAAAATTATAGGATGTATATGTATATAGAATGTGTATTTTTAAATTCATATATCAAATTATACACGAAGTAACATTACAAACATAACATTCGTTCATCAAATTATTTATCAAGAATTTTAAGAGAATTTAATACTTATTTTTTTTAATTACATGTTACAATTAACACAAGCGCATATATGTGTTAATTATCATTATTATTTAAAATTTATGCAATGCATGAAAGTTTACAATTATTCTTGAAATAACCAATGAGTTAAACAAATTATAAATGCGTTCTATAAGCGATTGTAACAAAAAAAAAGATATTTTATATGAAAAACCTGAGTAAAAAAACTTTAAAAATAGAATTATCAACAAAAATAGCAAATTTAAGATATGCACACAATTTAATATATGCACACACACACACACGCACGCACGCATATAAGTATATCAATTTTATATAAATTTTTCAATCTATCTTATAATCTTATTCATGTGTGTAGAAAATTAACACAAAGCTAGCTCCTTGATTTTCAACATCTTATATTAATTTTTTTTACTACATTATTAATTTACTATTCAATAGTTTCTTAGAGTAATCTTATTGAATTATTTTATTTAAAAATTAAATTTCTTAACAAGAATTTATTATTACAAATAAATTGAAACAAATTTAGGCATGTTAACAAATTTTATAATTCTTATAATTCTTAAAAAGTTAATAGATAATCTAAGAATCGAATAAATTTTTAAATCCAGATTGAAGAACGTTTGTTTGAAGATCAACTTCTAAAAGATAAATATTTTGCAATGTTAAAATAACTAAGTTATAAAATTAAAATCTCAATATTTTTTGATACATAACGAAAAATTGCATTAAAACATTTAAAAAAACATTCCATTTAAGAAAAAGATGAAATTGCACTTTTCAGGTACGCATATAATAGTGCATATAATAGTGCATAAAGTAGGAGTAACTAAAAATATATAATTTTATATAATTTTTTTTTCCCTACATCTCAAACCATTTCAATTGTGTAAGTCCGTCAGATTTTCATGGAACTCCCTGTACATATACATAAAAACATATGAATAAGATTATAATAGAGATTGAAAATTTTATATTAAAATGATATAAATATATATATAAAATATTTAAAAAGGATGTACATATTTTGATGCACAAACATCTTCAATACATCGAAATAAACATAGATAAACATTGAATCTAATGAAGCCAAAAATAATTAAATTCATAAAATAAGATCCACATCGCGATCATCATTAATACAAATAATTTATACAAACAAATTTACATAAATTAACAATTTTTCAATGTTGTATCAATTAAATTTAATATCGTGTCAATAATGCGATATCGACTATATGCATGTGTATTATAAAATATCGACACAAGACAGACAGTTAATTTAATCGTACGACCAGATCGGTGATTAATCTCCCTAATGTGAGTTATATAATTTCTACTTTGGCCCAATGTCTTGTAAACGCAACAAAGACCAACAACTCGCTCGATGACGTACAATGACATAAGATTTGAATTAGACACACTTATTGATATATCACATAGAAAAGAACACATTGATTATGTTTGCGATCGGTTGTGGACGTTTCTGTACATCGATCGGTGGATCTTCAGATTGAGCGTGTTTGTCTCTAAGTTCTTTCCAATGATTTAACGTATCTGTGTATTCCAATATTTTCTCATATTCATCTAATTTATTATACACGTGTAAGAGTCCTCGATAATCGTATTCTAAGCCACTGTAACTTTTTCCGAATAACTTTAAACCTATGGATCAAAACATGATGTTTCACATAAAATATAACATACAGCATTTTGCATTTTTAATTTAAAAGTTTATTTAAGATTTAAATTGTATATACTTACTGATTGCAATGCTACGATAATAAAGTTTTTCGGCATCTCTGTACCGGTTCATATGGAAATTATACAACGAAGCTAAATGTCCTATGCTCAAACCTACTTCATAATCTTCAGGACCTAATAATTCTTCTTTGATACGAATTGCTTTCAGATGCATTGCTTCTGCTTCCTACAGCATTATTGAACACAAAATAATTAAATATACATGCACATATCTGCATGTTTTTATATTTTTTAATAAAAATATTAAATATTATCAAAATACCTCAAACTTTCTCATACTTTGATACAAACGTCCCAGGTTTCCGTAATGCTTTGCCGTTTGTACATTTCTCTCGCCAAATGCAGTTTTGGCTAAATGTAAAGCAGATAAATGAAGACACTCGGATTTGAGTAACAAATTTTGTTCGGATAATGGCGTAGATGCATTATCTATAGCGATTTCTTCGAGAATAAGTGCTTTCACTCGTTTAGCACTCGCGAGCATCAAATGATAGGGGGGCAAAAGTTTTTCCATAATATCTATAGCTATTCCAGCATGATCACTATGAATTAAAATTGAATAAAATTAAGTATTGCATTATTAAGTGTAAATTAACATGTAAATTAAACAATAATTTTAATTAAATACTACCTTGCTTCATCAAACTTTCCAGAACTATATTCGTATACATAGAGAGCATAAGCTAAATCTTCGTGCGCCAAAGCGACATGGAGATTAGTCTTGCCGAAAATCGCTCTTCTAATATCTAACGCAGTCTGGAAGAAGGGGAAGATGTTTTTTTTAGAAATTTCCGATTACGAAGATTTATATGAAAGATGTATTCAGAAATAAATACCTTGTAGACGGATACACTATTAATGATGCTATCGTAATTTAGTAAGTAGAATCCATAATCGATGAGAACGTCGCTATACTTTGGATGGTCCGTATCGAATATCTCTCTGGCGAGATATACAGCTTCTCTGATCAGTAAACCAGCCTTCTGGAATTCGCGTTTCACTACGCATGACTTTGCCGCTTGTCTTAAAACATCGATGATGACTCGTGCAGGAAGCGATGGTTTTAAGTGCTTCAACGCTTCTATGCTCCACCTAAAAAAAAAAATAGTTGTCAATAAAATGTGTCAAAAAGGAAAAAATTAGGCAATAACGAAATACTGAATTAAAAATGTACCTATAAGCTTGATCATATTCACTGCGAATGAAGAATAATACACTGAATTCTGCAAAGAGCGCAGCATGATTACTGTTATTGTACTGCGCATTTTTTAATTGTTCTATCATTTCTATGGCAAGTTGATGAGTTTCCGCAGCTCCATCAAAAGCACAATATGCTGCTTGTGCATGTAACAATCTAGATAAAAAATCAATGATAATTGTTATATAATTGTAAAAATTATTTTAAATATATTCTAAATATAAATTTATATTATTATAAACATTATATAATATACTAATATAACATATATATAATATATATATATATATATATATATATATATATATCATATGCAACAGATTATAACATATATATATCATATGTAACAGATTAATTCTCTCTTACTTGTGACAACAATCTAATGTTCTACACCAATCCTCAGGAGTTTGATTATTGGCAATACACAATTCCTTGCACGCCGACAGTACTTCTTCACTTTCTGAATACCAGCCAGCATCGCTGAGAAATCCACCCAATCTCAAACCTAGATTTATAGTCTTATCCTGTGCAGTAGGATTCTCCCTTACTTGAAAACAGTGCATGTTGTAACTGACGGCCAAATTTTTTCCTACCCTTATTCCATGATACATCGGAGCCTTTAATCGGAAAAACATAAGCATGAGACGTCTTTAAAAAATTAAAAAAAAAAACATGACAGATAGCAATCATTCTGAAAAGTCAGTACTCTGGTACGATCAAAATCACCTGAAAAATTTGTAGAAGATGTATTCGACGATTGGTGACCTTGAGCATCTTGGAGAAAGTCTCCAGATCGCTCAATTCCGCCCCCAATATGCATAATCTCCTCTCTCTGTACAACTGAAACACAAATCGAACCCATCAGAGATAACAAGGGAGAGAACGAATCGATCGGTCAACCGATTAGATAAAACGGCATTTCTCGTTTTCGGAGAAGACGCGTCCTTCTAAAGGCAAACGCGTCTTTCAAACGTCAAATCAAACTCAACAGCTGAGAGCTCGAGGTCGATTCGTCACGCGAACGCCAAGTGATCGCGCGTCGACCACCAGCGTAGACGAACACACGCGACGCGGATATTTCGGAGGCAAGCAATCGTCGTCTCCTCGAGGAAGGCGAGGAGCGCGCAAAAACAAATCGCATCGCGCGCGCGATGACGATGTTGTATATACATACTGGACGTACGGTGGGTCGGTGCTGTCGCTGTCGCGCTGACAGCTTGACGTTTACCTGATAGTAGAGATCGAATCGCACGTTTTTGGGCAGATCGGCGAGATGCGGCTTGTAACTGCGAAACCTGTCCGCTACCGCGGACACGCACAATTCGTACAGGCTCTTGGAGGAAAACAACTGTGACTCGCGTCCATCGGCCATTTTCGCGAATGGCCTTTGATTAATCACCAACACAATCGCCCTGCATGCATATCACGTATGTGCAATTTTGTGATACGTCTTTGCCTACCGAGCGCACGCGCGCGTATCTCGCGGGATCAGAGATGTCGCCCAGATATTTTCGAATTAGCGCGATATTTACGATGCTTTTAAAACATATATGTACGCGATCTTTTTAAGGTCTTTTCTTCATTTGTATTAATAGAGATGAAAAGAGAAAGCTTAAATTTTACTTACCATATAATACCATATATGCGTTTATAATTGTAATTTTTGTATTCGTGCTAAAAAACATTACCTCTTCTGCACTTAGTGTCATCTTATAACAAATGTAGATCTATATAATCTTGTCTTATAAATGTTGAAACCTATATATCTATGTAACTAATTGGCTATAAAAAATTAGTAAACTTTGCTATAGTTCTCTATGAATTGTATTATTAATCAATGATTTACACTTTCTATTCTTTTCCAAATTCATGATTGGTTTTATACCTTTATCGGACAAGTACATTACTTATTAAATACCTTTATATTACTGCACATGCGCGAAAAAATATGACCACTGCTTCAGGTGTGAACGTCGCATATACAGTACATATCCGTTTATACACTTATATATATTAAAGCAAATTCTTCATTTCAGATAAAATAGGACGTGTACTAAAAAAAAAAAAAACTATAAGCGAGGAAAGGATTGCAATTTAGTAACCAATAATTCTAGTATTATTAAGTTTCAATCTCGCCCATATATATTTGCTTGTCGCTAGATCCCGAGCACACTGAAAGAAATACAATTGTCATATTATATGTATATGTAAATTGATTAAAATACACAGGGTGTATCCGGAAAATCGCTCGCAGTACTTCAAGAAGTGATTCCGAATCCAAAAAGAAGGAAAAAAAGTTATATAAACATATGTTCGGAAATAAGTCGTTTCCGAGTTATACCCACTTTTATGTTTAAAAAATCGTAATTTATACTTCACTTGGCATCCCTCTTTTAAAAATTTTTTTATATTTAAATTTTTTTATATTTAAATTTTTTTATATTTAAATTTTTTTGTATTTAAATTTTTTTTATATTTAAATTTTTAAATATTTAAATTTTAAATTTAAATTTAAATTTGAATTTTTAAATTTAAAAATTTAAATTTTAAATTTAAATTTGAATTTTTAAATTTAAATTTGAATTCAAATTTGAATTTTTAAATTTAAATTTGAATTTTTAAATTTGAATTTAAATTTGAACTTTTAAATTTTTAAATTCAAATTTAAATTAAAATTTTGAATTTAAAAATTTAAATTTAAAATTAAAATTAAAATTTTTAATTTAAATTTTTAAATTCAAATTTAAATCTAATTCTCGAAGTAAGCGGGCGATTTTTCTCTACATATTTTATACATTTTCTTACGAAAATTTTTCCCCCCTGTATAAAAATAAAACTTATAAATTATCTCATACCTATAGGTTCTTTTGGATGGAAATCAATGTCATTCACAGATCCGTTGTGTCCCGGCAATTTGTATAATATTCTACGACTTGTGGTATCCCAAATATAATGAAATCGATCCGAGGAGCCAGCCGAGACTTTGCTGCCATCCGGTGACCAAGCACATCTCAGAAGATTCTAAAAATGTGATAATTTCGATCGATTTATTGACATTTATAGTATAAATGGTTTTCTTCTTTTATTATATTAGAAAAAAAAACGTACCTTTTCAAAGTTATGCTGATGTCCGGACAGTATTTTTACGCAGCGTTCATAAGGTGCAAACGGTCGTACATCCCATATCTTCAGCGTGTTATCCATAGCGTTGGAAAGTATATAAGATCCGTCGGGACTGAGACTCAATCCAGTAATGGTATCGGTGTGTCCTTTCAATTTGTAAAGCACCGCATTTTTTCGAAGATCCCATACCTTTACATCATTATCGATACCGCCGCTGATTACTTGCTCCGCCGTATCGTTAAACGTTACCGCAGTTACCTATAATTGTATTGACAAAATTTTTTTTATACATATAATTGTATTATATTTGTTATCCATATTCACTATAATATAATTATTAAGATATAAATACGATACCTGATATGTATTGTTTAATGTGTGGCACTGACCCCGCTTCCTGGGATCCCAAATACGTATCGTACTATCATCACTACCCGAGCAGAGTAGCGTGGGTCCTCTTCGCGCACCTGACACAGAATTTACAAACGAAGTATGGCCCTTCAACTTTTTGATCCGTGTTCCAGCTACTATGTCCCACAAACCCAGTGTCATGTCTGTGCTAGCTGTGTACAAGTGATTGCCATCTGGACTGAAGTGTAATTCCATCACAGCACCACTGTGTCCAGTCATGATGCCAATATTCTCGCATTCTCCGTAAACATTCCAGATGACTGCAAATGAACAATCATTTTGGGAGCTTTTCAACAACAACACAGAGCGACAGAATATCATTCTATCTTTGTTGTTTACTGATATTGAAAGAAGATAAAATGATATGCTGTGTCGCTGTGTGTCGTTGCTGGAAAGCTCCCTTATTAAACAAAGCAAGCGGAATTTATTGAGTTAACGAGCGGTTCGATTCGATAAAACGTACAGATTTGTCGATCGAATCCCGTGGATGCCAGATACTGTCCTTCCGGATGAAATTCCAAAGAAAAGATATCTCCTTGGTGTCCCTCGAGCAACATTATCATCGACATTAAGGAGGATGTTCGCGGTGGACCCTGGAAAATTTTATCATATAAATTTTACATATTCTAGAAAAAAAATTATAACACAACACTCTGCTTTCTTGGATTAATGCTAAAACGTTGTTGAAAATTACGCAAAATGCAAGGTTATAACTTACGCTTTGCACAACCGCCTTTTCTCTGCTGCTGAAAACGATTTCATTCTTGGTTCTTTTCGAAGCAGGGACCAATGCCAAGATATCATCTCCTTTTCTTTTATCCAGAATCGGCATATTATTAAAATATCAATTTAATTCAATTTCATAAACACAAACCACGCGTCTACCATATCTTTCTGTCATATTCTTGAAGACGCTTTCTTTGCGCTTGCGCAGACAATGGCCGCATTCAGCGGACTCAACCGCTAAGTGGCGAATATGATTGGTTTCTACATTTAGGTCCGACCAATCAGCGTCGAGTTACATCGGAAATCTAGTAATGTTGCCCAACCGCTGAATGCAGCCAATGATGGCGGCAACAAATAAGCGCGAAAATTTTAATTTTTAACTGTCGATTTAATTTAATGAAGAAAATGACATATCTCTCTCAATTGTAAATCTAAAATAATACTACCATTATCTAATATATAAATCTCGATTTTTTTATCACTATAGGGATTTTTAGATCACTAGCAGGCTCAAGAGCATTTTTTTACGCATTAAAAATATTTTTAATTTTCCGTTTGACGCTGTGAAATTTCGAATCCAATTTGATCATCCAATCAGGACGATCCAATTTGATCATCCAATCAGGACGAGGAGAATAAGAATTTCTTTGCTCCGATTGAGCAATGGCCACATTCAGCGGACTCAACAGTTGGGCAACATTCCTAGATTTTCCGATGTAACTCGACGCTGATTGGTCGGACCTGAAAGTAGAAACCAATCATATTCAATTGCTACTTAGCGGTTGAGTCCGCTGAATGGCCAATTTATCGCTTCGAATCTTTCAAAAGCGACAAATGGAACGCGCTTTAAAAAAAACCTCGATAGGGAAAGTCATGCAAAGGCACGTGTGGCAATTAATTAAATAATCTCGATTTTACAATTGCATTGTCATTGTCATTCCTGTACATACACACATCTGATGAATTTATAGTAAAAATATATAATATTGAAGACGATCCTGATTTATCATAAAAATGCTCTGAAGAAAAATTGGATGCTTTTGTCGTATTTGATGCATCGGATCTCCCGCGAATTAAATCCGAGTGTCCCTTGTGTCGAGGGGGTTAGAATGCTTCTCGTTAAGAACGCCGCGAAATGCCTCTGTTATCATTATTAGCGAGTCTAATCAGAATTAAATTAAATTAAAAATGTATAATATGATTAACGCGATACGCGAAAATAAACCGACTATAATTAGATAATAATGAGATGGAGAGAGAGCTGTCAAACGGGAGTTTGCATCATCGCGAACTTCCAATCGCCAGATTAAGTCAGTATGAATCATGTGTGGGCATGAATATGAGTGGTGTAAGACATAAAATATGGTAATTGGAGATATGTGATATCTTTACGATGTATAAATAATATAAATAAGACACATGCTATAATTTTATTAGTTCTGCGTTATTTATAAAAATACATTTTAAATTTGTGACAACTAATGTATATTAATTTTTTTCAGTATGGTCTCGGATTTCTTTTATCCGAATATGGGCGGCGTCGAGGAGCACATCTTCAATTTGTCCCAATGTCTGTTGGAACACGGACACAAAGTAGTAATACTCACGCACTCTTACGGAAAAAGAGTAGGCGTGCGATACATGACAAATGGATTGAAAGTATGTGCCTTATATTTTTCTTGTTCCATTAATTGTCCTTGTTTTGATCTATTGTAACTTTCACGTTCGTTTTATTTAAGGTATATTACATTCCAGTCAAGGTTTTCTACAATCAGTGCGTTCTTCCAACGATGATATGCTCTCTCCCACTTATTAGGTACATTTTTCTAAGAGAAGAGATACAGATTATACATGGACATTCTGCATTCTCTGCTTTAGCACACGAGGGAATGTTGATCGGTAGATTAATGGGATTAAAAGTAAGTTTTGGTGACTGTAGTAAAGTAGCAAGCTTTCAAAGATAGCTACTAACGCTATATTTGCAGACAGTTTTCACAGATCATTCGCTTTTCGGTTTTGCGGACGCGTCAGCTATTCTGACAAACAAATTTCTCGAAATATCGTTAGTCGATTGTGATCATTGCATATGTGTGTCTCATATCGGAAAAGAGAATACAGTATTACGAGCCAAAGTGAAAAAGGAGAAAGTATCCGTTATTCCAAATGCCGTTGACACCGCGCTGTTTACGCCTGACATCAGTAAACGGAGCAACGATTTTAGTAAGCTTAATAACTCGAGATTCTGTTTTACACATTACATTAGAAACGTATTATTCTCTAATTATTATGTAACTGTCAATTTCAGTTACCATAGTAATAGTATCGCGATTAGTGTATAGGAAGGGCGTCGACCTTCTAGCCCATATAATACCTGAGATTTGTTTACGTCACAAAAATGTACAATTTCTAATCGGCGGGGATGGACCGAAAAGGTGGTTGATAGAGGAAGTAAGGGAGAGAAATCTGCTACAGCATCGAGTCACTTTGCTGGGCAGTCTGGAACATTCTCAAGTCAAACACGTTTTAAACAAAGGTCACATCTTTCTTAACACGAGTTTGACAGAGGCTTATTGCATGGCTATTGTAGAAGCAGCTTCTTGCGGGTAAACATTCCTTTCTTCTTTTCTTATTACATTTAGTTTATGAAACATTCATCTTATTTATTCTTTTTTAACTCTGAGTTTTTCCAATAATTTTCTCATTCTATTCTTCTTTATGCCAACAGAATTTTATCGCGAGCGACGAATATGATTAATATTGTTTTGCAGTTTGCAAGTAGTATCGACGAAAGTCGGAGGGATTCCAGAAGTTTTGCCACCGGATCTAATTTATCTCGTCGAACCCACTGTATCAGCGTTAATCGAAGGGTTGGAGATGGCTATAGCTGATTACAAAAGAGGTGATATCAAATGTCCCTTCGAGATGCACAGGAGAATAGGCTTATATTACAATTGGTTCAACATCACGAAACGTACTGAGATAGTATATAATTTGGTGAAGCGTGAAGCGAAAAGAAATCTAGGACAACAATTAGCGAGTCAATTGCAAAGTGGTGTATTGGCCTATTTACTTGTGGTGTCCCTGTGCTATATAATATTACAAGTCTTGGAATTTTTCGTTCCTAGAAAGGTAAAATATTTGAAATTACATGTATAACATACATAATGTATGCGTATTTTGTTAACTTATATACATTTTTCGCTTTATTGTTGGCTTATGTTTAGTTTTTGATTTTTATATCTGTTCTTGTACATGTATTGTATCAATGTATCAAAAGAAGAGATTCCTCTTTATATTTATAGTTATAAATTTTCAGTACATCGATATTGCGCGGGACTACAACGACATTCACGTTATGCCATCCAACGGGAAAGGAAAACCCGATTAACCGCCATAGAAGCATGAAATGTAAACTTCTCAATGTGTTCAAGTATTTTATATAGTCTATATACTTTGAAAACATTCCAGAAAAAATTTCACATTCTCCGCAAAAGTTATCGTTAAGAAAAATAATTATTGTCTGTTGCATTTATCGATAAATTTTTAAAGAAATATAACTATATATCTATATAAAAATGTTATGTGCAAAATAATGACATGCAAAATAAGGAGAAAGTACAAATGTCGTGATTGACTTGTATGTAAAATTATTACAACTGACAGGACTGTTTATAACAATTTTATTTATTATATTTCCTGCTGCTTTTTGTAATCTCTGTGTATCATTCCAAAACAAATATAATAGCGCATGATGTTCAACATCCGACGTTAGTTTGTTTATGAAAATAATACTTTATCCGTTAAATGTGTGGATTTCTTTTTTTTTTTTTATTATGATACATGTGACATCTCGTATGAATCAATGCGTAACACGTATAACAATTTGTAACGATATCCAACGCCGCTCGTACCCCGCATACACATATAGTTACATATGCTTAAGAAAGATATTTATTGCGTCATTAGCATTACAAAATATCGTCGTGTGTGTATTACGGATAGTTCGTGCTTACGTTTTAAAACAATTCGCGCTAATCTTTAAGCAGTTATTTGTAGCAATATGTGTGGAGTAGAAAGGTTAATTCGTATTCATGTAATTCACCAACCGCGCGTTAATATAATCGATATTTTTCGCGAGTATTTTTTTCCTCTTTTTATAAGAAGCGATAAATAATTTCATTTTTTTCTCTCTTTTTTGAACGCTGCGATCAAAAATCTGCCATACTTTCGTTCGACTATCAAGTTATCATCTGCACATACAGAGTATACAAGTGTACGAAATATATATTATATCGACTTATATGAGAAAAAAAGTTACATTCGTACTTTTAAATAAAAATTCATTACGCGTTGTTGTGTATTGTGGAGTATTCTATCAAGTCTGCGATTTATAACAAAATTAAAATTATGTATAATTAAAATTTATACAAAATGATAAGAAATTAAAGTTAAAAATATTTATTTCAATTAGTTGTATGTTAAATACAATTATAGAATTGATACAATGTTAATTTTTTAATTATCGCTTTCGTCTGTTTAATCGCCGCGCGTATACTCTGTACATTAATCTTCTATTTATACATAAATCTTTCACGTGTAAGGATCTATGATTTTCTCTTATGTTAGATGCTCTTAGATAAGAGAAAATCAATGAACCTTCGTTAACAAGCATCATAATATTACGAGTGGTCAGATCTGTGTCACAACATTACACGCTTATTCAATATCGCATCTCTTGATGCATATTAGTCCACTTAAGATATAATGAAACGAATGTCTTTAAAAAGTGCTAAAAAGGTTCCCCTTTACGGATCTTTAACTACGACACTTACAAGAGAGTTATAAAATAAAACTTTACAAAAAAGTACTCCGCCTCTCTGATCACGTATTATGTCATTTAAGTCTCCCCGTGTAAGTTTTTCGAGTCTTTTCAAGTTTTTCTTATTAGATCGACTACAAGAAGACTACGACGAGTGAGATCCACACATGCGGTTATCAGTGATGTCACGATTTTATCTACGCTGTCGAGATTGTGTGGAATTAATAATGCAAATATCGCTTTTAAATCGCTATTGCTTCATTTCTACTGCAAAACCAAAAAGTTTCTAATCAAGAGTGCTATGCTGAATTGCTAGTTTTATTTCATAATTATACTCCTACTGTCACGAAAGAGTATTTTGAATCTCTCTGTTTCTCTCTTTTTCACTGCTCATTCGTTGTTGCAAAGAGTAACGCGAGTCTCCGTTCTATTATTAATATTTGCGTATGCAACTACTGTTGTGTGTACATGAAATTCTGCTTACAGTATCGTTATTATGATTGCAGTATATTATGACGGCGGAAAAATATTAAAAAAGTAAAGGAAGAGATTTTTCCGTGCTCGAAATGCATGGATTAAATCATTCATAAAATCTGTTGTATAAATAATACAAAGTGCGCGAATCTTTTCTTCTCGATGAATATATCTGCGACAAAGCGGAAAATCCATAGGATTCAGCGAGGGCAAATACTGACGCACCGCATATATATTCAGTACTTGAGACAGTGTTTTTCGCGATCTCACAACATGAGCACGTTCTAATACATGTGTGTGTATGTATATATATATTCTTTTTTCGTCGAACACCTTTACATACACATATTGCTATTGACTGCCAGAGCTCGTTTTATCTCTGTATATATTTTCTCTCCCTTTTTCTTTTATCGTCTTGGCTTAGGGATTTAAGTGATGATGGTGATGATGATGATGAAATGTTATAAAAGTTTCCAACTTTAATTGTCGCGCGTACATACATAGGAAAAAGTAAGTTCGTCCTCTTTCTGAAATATTCATCTTTGAGTAATATGTACAATGGAGTTTTTTCCATTTAATGTAATAAGAAAATAACGCCACGCTCAGCCACGGTCCTGTCATCGACGATTGAAGAACGATCGAATTCCTCCTTGGATCGTAAAGTATTTGTATGCTTCAAGAGATTACCCGTGGTGGGTGATTCTTCTCAGCAGCACCCGTTTGGCATATACAATAAATAAATAACGAACCATTTGCAATGTGTAAATCGAGAGCGTCGCATCATTTCCGTGAGGTAAATTGGCGAAACAGCTCAGACTCCTTCACCATAATCGCGATCACCTACGTTAATACGATCAGGGGCCGCGGTTACGCTAAAGCCAAGAATCCTGTTGTCCACCTTGAACATCTTTCCTTTCTTTGGTTTCTTGGATTTTCCCTGAACGAAAAAAGGAATAGATCTAATGTGTTTTGCACAATTCGAGGCACGATTTATATAGTATGATTCTACCTTTATATTTGAGATATTAACTTTGTCTTATCATATAAATAATGTGAAAAGAGGTAGTAATCTATTACAAAAATATTTACTCTATTTAAATTAAATGATGTAATAATATTTTAATATATTTCCACGGATCGAATGAAAATGGGACTGTTAACAAGAATAATTCACTTCGGTTACCTTCACTTCTTGAAATTCTGCAGATGCATTCGGATTAACGGCTGGCGCTGGCTTGCACAGATCGTCCGCTTGTGCTTGAGGACGTTGCGCAGATCGCCATTTACTTCGCTTCTCTAAGAATTGCTTGGCAAATTCTGTGCTCTGTTTGGTATCGCCAAGGTAAACGCGAACGTACTCTTTCACCTCGTAAGCTGACTCTATGTCCCGCAGGAATCCAACGAATGTAGGGACTGTGAATGCACGTGGTGTAGTAGAAAATCGATGTGAATGATAAACTTGATGCGTTATACTTACTGTCCACAGACGCTTGTATACCGCTCAACGTTTTATTACACCATTGCGTAAAATCATCGGGCTTGGCAGTGTTCTGTTCAAATAGTTTCTTCACCAGTTCTTCCTCCCTCTTGTTTTTGCTCTTGGATGCCTTATTGTTACTATTCTGTTGAGGTTGTTGTTGCTGCTGCTGTTGCTGATTAGAAGTGCTGGATTTCGTGATCGCAGTTTGTTTGGCAGCCGATTGCTTTACAGTCGCAGACGACTTGACGGGCGTGGGATCATCCCAGAAACCACTATTACCAGCATTAATGGACCATGCTTGGCTATTCGATGTACTCGAATTGGCCCAATTCAAGCATTGTGATGCTGTACCCCATATTCCGGCATTCTGCAGCATACTTGCCGATTCCTTTTGACCGGCCTTTTCTTGCCGTTCCCTTTCCTGTTGCTAGGGAAAAAATATTTCAATTTCTTATCGCACGATCTCTTTTACAGAAATAATATTTTTTCGTACCTAGTATACTCAGGAAACAATAAGTACCTTTACCTTAGTGATGCGTTCTTGTTCCTCCTGCTGGATTTGCGCGAGACTTTTCACTTGGAGCGGTTTATTGGAAGCGGTAGCCTTTTCCGCCCATTTAAACTGTAATCGCTTCGACGAATCGGTTGTCGATGCTTCTTGTGCCGCTTCTATCGCCTTTTGCTGCGCTAATTGTTGCTGCATCATTTGTTGAAGCCGTTGCTCTTCCTGTAAGATAACAATGATATTAGTAGATATGCATAAATTATGCATGTAACAAACGTAAAATGTATTTACCGCTTTCTTCTCTCTCTCGAATCTTTGAATCTCAGCGAGTGAAGCTGTATGAGCGGCAGGAGCCATCGCGCGTGGAGTCTGAGCCCATGGAGCTTTATTTCGTTCCTGAAGTTTACGTAGTGCTTCGGCTTCTCTTCGCCGTTGTTCCGTGCGACGCGCCTGTTCTTCCGCTTCTACTTGTCGTCGCACTTCCACTTCTTTTCTGTAAAGTTTACAGATAAAAGTTTCATTCAAATATTCAATTCATTTCGTTTGTTTAAGCTTTGTATAAATTTTACATCGACATACCTAAGTCTCTCTTCTTCCTTCTTTTGCTCTTCCTCCATCAATTTTTTTCTCTTCTCTTCTTCCTTCTTCAATTTCTCTTCTTGTTTTTTAAGTTCTTCCCGCTTTCTTTTTTCCTCTTCCTGTTTTTTCTTCAAATTCTCTTCTTCTTGCTTTCTCTTCTCCTCGCGCCTTTTCTCCTCTTCTTTACGTTTTTTTTCCTCCCTCTTTTTCTGCTCTTCTTCTTGTTTGCGTTTCTCTTCCTCTTTTCGTTTCTTCTCTTCTTCCTTTTTCTTTCTCTCTTCGTCTTTACGCTTCGCTTCTTCTACTTGTCTAGCCTGTTCCTCCTCCTTTTGCTTTCTCTTTGCGTTCTCTTCCTCCGCTTGACGTTGCAATTCTTCTTGCTTCTTTAACTCTTCTTTTTTCCTATCCTCTTGTAACTTTAAATTCTGTTCTTCCTAAAAAGAGAAAATAATACATTGGATTTTTTTATAACATTGAAAATCGAACAAAATTGAATTACCAGTATTTGCTGTTCAGTTTTCATATCTTTAGCATGTAAATCCCACAGAGAACCAGGTAATTGTCCAGGTGGCATAGCGGGAATGGGCCCAACCTGGAAAATAATATAATGCAAATGAATAAATGATATTGAATCGATTTTTCAAACATAATTTTTACATCTCTGTAAAAACTTGAACTTTACACGAAGCAACGCACCTGCGCTAACCAATTCTGCGCATTAAACTGGGGAGCTATTTGCGGCGGAGGTTGCGGCCAGACAGTATCCATATGAGGTGCTTGCGGATGGCCATTTGTGTTGACATTAAGTTGACGTAGCAGAGATTTAATTGGATTGTCTTCTTGCGTCGGCGCAGGAGTCGGAGCGATATTTGGTTGTTGTATGGTAGGCAAATTCTGTATATTACCCATCTGTTGGATCAACTGTTGTAGTGGATCTACTGTAGCCGGATGAGACGATGCGGTTGCATGCGGATTTGTCGGTAGATGTGTCTCGGGCTGCGTTTTTGCCTGTGTGAAGAATATACGTGTGAAGAATATAGTATTTTGCTTAATGTCAATTTAAAGCTAACATTGAATTAGCTTATTGATGCATTACCTGCTGCATCTGAGTGAAAAGTTGCATAACAGGATTAGCCGTCTGCGATGCAAGGTGAGGTACAAATGGGTTTGTTGCTATCGGAACTTCCGGAATCTCTTGCATTCCGTCCTGTATGACATATTGTAGAATCAATTGGTTCTGCTCTACTGGACTCAACGTTGTCCAGTGTTCCGATTGAGACAACTTTGCTATCGCCGATGTTCTCATCTGCCTAAGCAGCATTTGCTGATTGTGCATCATCTGCATTTGCTGATATGTCATCAACAGTATCGGATCCTCTATTCCGGCCTTCGGTATAGCACTAGCGGCTAGTCCAGCTGGTATAGTAGTAGGAACAGGCGGAATTATTTGTTCCGATAGCTATGAATAAAAATTTATTTGATATTATTAAATATATTCAATAGCAATTGCGAGAGGAATTGAATGCAAGATAAAAATATGTAATTTTTTATTTTAGAAATCTTTGGATATTGCTTTACATCGCAAATTGAATATTATAGATGATTATAAATAAAATTCATTTTCCTTTATTCTGCTTCCTTTTAAATTATTCAATTCAAAGCTATTTTACACTATACACACATCCAAATCCTCGATAAATAAAATAATTTAGTAACAATATATAAGAATTTAAAAAGAATGCATAAAATAATGTTAAATAAATATAATAGTGTACCTTCAAAGGAGGTATTGGCAGACCAGGCGTGAAGGGTACTCTTCCGTACATTTTAATTAGATCACCGAGTGTAGCGTACCTTTCGTCACAGGTTCTTCTCACCAACAAGCCCGTAGTGAAATAACCGGCCTTGCACCACTCGGCCATTTCACTAGCTAAAAACGGTCCTTGAACTTCACCCTGTGGATCACGATAATACCATTTTTCCTGATTACTCGTAGAGGAAACTGCGGAAGGTTGATTACTGCCAATCGCGGACGGGACACCGGTAGCAATCGTTTTCTCTTTGTGACTCTCTTCATCTGCCATTAATTTGGCTACCAATGCATCAGCCTCTTCTTTCATTCTATCATAGTCGTCCTCTGATCTCTGCCTGATGCTGACAATTCCTGAATTATGCAGCTTCGATTGCTCCAAAATTGCTTGAATCTGTCGATTAGTTGTGGTAACAGTTATTTGGGACTCTTTTTTAACTTCTTGTGGCTGTATGTTTTCTTTATCGTGAGTTCCACTTGGAGGTTCATCAGGTTTCTCACTAGTCTCGACTTTATTCACATTTGCAGATCCGATGACAGTCTTCTTCTGCAAAAGATCCGAAGGTGTCGTTAAGATCTTCGCGGGAATGTCTTCAGTCGTCGATGTAATTGGAGGTTTAGCGGAGGGCGAGTTACATTTTCTCTCTTTTCCTATAGAATTATCCTTATCCTCGACTGAATCTAACGGTTTCGATCGTTCCTTACTTAATGTAGTACCGACTGTATTATTTGTATGGCGATTCAATGATTGGACAGAACCTGTTCCGAAAGTCAATGTCTTGTTATTAGATTTCACTATATTAGAAGCACTGCCTTCCGAGACGCGTCGAGTTCTGCCTTGGGAAGCACCCGCTGCACCGTCTTCATCGTCGTCTGAATACATTCCACCATGAAACGCGCCTGAAGCGTCAAAACTGCCGCCGCTTTCGCTCGGATTTTCCGTCGCCCTGAAATATCAAGATTAAGAGATGAAATAAAAATAAAAAAAAAAAAAAAAGAGATGCCATAATGAAATTTAATATTAACCATTCTGGCAGATTGTCGTGATTATCATGATGATTTGATTCCCAAGCGCGAGCAGTACGAGGTGGTGGATGGTGACTTGAATCATGGGAAGGTCTGTGATTTCCCCGATGTTCCCATCTTCCCGATCCACCACCTCTACTTTCTTCCCCATCACCATCATTTCTGTCCAGCCTATCCCGATCTATACTGCCACCCTCGCGCCAACTACTCCTTCCTAACATAAATATCTTGTTTTATTACATATAAACATATATGTGTATGTGCATATAATAATATCTCCTTTTAAATGTACGAAACGATGTGTCTGTACTTACCCCACTTACGCCAACCGTCATCGTCTTCTCCCCCTCCGCGATGGCGTCTCCAATTACTTTCCATAAGGGAGCTACCGCTAGTTCCACGACTTAGTTCTTTTCTCGGACTAGTGGAACCGTTCCATTCTCCTGGATCTGAAGCACCATTTCTCTCCGGCCAACCGCGTTCGCTTTGAGATCTATCGAATGGCCTATTTCTTCCCTATAAATAAAATCTTTCAGCTTCCTCCATCATGTGTTCCTATGTTAATTGTTTTTTCTAATTATTCTTTTTTAATCAACAAGTGTATTATCTCTATTTTTGTAAATTTTATATATTTGAAAAAAAGCAATAGATACAAAAAACAATTAAATCAAGAAAAAAGTATATATATATCAAAGAGGAATTTTAGACAAAAGAACAGAAACCTGTACCTGGAATGATTGACCCTCAATTCGTATCCCATCACCAGAATCGTCTCCGAAACCAACTCCGCGTGAATAATGAGATGAATATAAGCCTCCTCTTCCAGTTCTACCACGTCCACGATCCACACTGCTGCCTCTTCCACGACTACCGATATTAGTTATCCCCCCATTCCACATACGCTGAAAGGTTCACATATATTTGAGCACATATATTATATATTTATATTATAAAGAGCAAAAAAAAGACAAATTTTTTTTCAAATAAACTTATTTTCATTTTTTACAATTTTAAGATAGTAACACAAAAGAAGATAGCTCTGAGTACAACAAGCCTTACATACAAATAGAATATATATTTAAAAAAATCTGTGTTAGTTTTACTGTATTTGGATTCAAATATAAATATGGAATATGTGTGTGTGTGTGTGTGTATGCATATACATGCATATATATGCATATACATGCATTTATATATAACTTCAAAAGATAATTTAGTAAAAAAGAGAAAATTGAAAAATTTATTAAAAATTATTTTTTAAAAAAAGCAAGTTGTTTGTAATGAAAAGAAAAATTAAGGTAAAAAAAAACTCTAAGGTAAAACAAAATGTTATATTTTTAGATAGTTCTCAATAAAAATTAAAAAGGAGAGAAGGAATGAGAAACAAAAATATATAATAACACAAATCAAATAACATAATTTGAGCTTTCTTCTCTTTCTATTATTATCAATAATAATTAAAATTAGGCTATTTTCTCTTGTGATAAAAATATAAATCATATAATAAAAAGTAGATTGTGATATTAACGTACAATATGTATGTCTAATTACCGTTTCATCCTCTGTCATCTGTACAAGAGCCAATGGAGGTTGAGTTTTCTCTACATACAATGCTGGAAAAGTTGTTAGAGGCTCTGGAGGTTTATAATTGCGATCAAATAGAGCCAGCATCTCCTCTCGACCGTATCTATGCTCTGCCAATTGATACCGAGGTGTACTCAATGTTGTGGTTCCTCCACCACCTCCACCACTACCACCAGTGCGCAACCTACATATGATGTAAATATAACCACATTAATATAAACACAAATATAAATGACGAGTTAACTTTCACTAGCAATGTACTGCAATTACGTACCATTCTGGACCAAATTTCATGGAATCCGTCATGATGTACTATCTTCTAAACAAGAAAAAAACACAAAATAAGACCAGTAACTTGTAATAAAGCATATCTAATTGCAATACACACATTATTCTATGAAGCTAAGTATTATAAAAAGCATCTTACAAATATATAGAGTACACAAGACAAGTTCTGTTGCATAACATAATTTCAAGATGTTTTTTTTTTTAATTTTTTTATCGACTGATATTCGATATCACGAAGTTTATGTAAATATTTGTAGGGCCAGATCGATTCTGAACAGAACACGAGGCAAATAAAATCATAGTAATGCGATTTTCCTCGAAGGCTCGAAGGTGGGTAAAAGAAATTTGCCATCCATCACGAAGGGGGGCTTTGTCATCTGTTACATCCCAGTGTATACACGATGCAGATCGACATAAAAAGAGATAGCCGTAGCAATCTCGCGTATATAAATCAGAGTGTACCGATCAGCTCCTACCTGTTGCTCAATATCGGGATATTTGTGATCAGCGATCGCGAATTTCGATAAAAAAAGACAGACGAAAGAGCAATGAGCTTTCGAGGAGCAAAGAAAGTTCCGTAGAGTAACACAAGGTACAGCAGCGCGCGGAGCTCGTCAATTATGCGCGGCTTCGGAAGATCCTCGGAGATTCTCGCGATGTATCTCCTCGCTGGTCGCGAAAGAAGCGCGTCGTGAAACAACACGCGATCTCATCATCGCGACACGCTTTTCGCAGGCGCAGAGAACGAGCGAGAACGATATCCGCGATCCAAGGTGGCAACATTAACCCAACTTTTTTTTGATCGTGCGAGCACCAGGAAGATCGACACGCGCGGTGAATCGCGATCGGGACGAGAAAGTGGTAAAAAAATGATCGCCGATCTCGGGCCTCGGACGATCGCGGATGGGCACGAAAACGGCATCCGGATCTTCGGGAAAAATACCTTAGCTGAGCTTCGAAATCACTGAGAACAGCGATACAACACACCAATATGGCTGAATTTTTTTTTTAGAATGGAGCGCATGCGAGAGTTTTGCGTGGTGGTAGTGATGACACGCTTGCAAGGGAGGTCGCGAAAAGTCACCAGATGAAAAAACTAAAAATGGTTGCATGGCAGCAGTGACCAATCCACTTTTATAGCCGTATAAAATTCAAATATAAAATTAATTATTAATATAAAAATGATTTTTTGAGATGTAAATTTAGATTTTGAAAAATACAGATATATATAAATCATAAAATATTATAAAAACTTTTTATACATAAGTTATAAAAAACATTATATATGAATAATTAATTTCATTTCTTTGACAAGCATCGTATTAATGTCAATCTCTTTTGTAAAATTTAATATTTGTGTATAACTTGAACGATTTTCATAACTTTTTATATAATTAATACACGCATATTCAATATTTTCAGATCGATACGTATTTTTCTCAATATTTTTTATGTGACCTTATAGCCTAATAGCCATATTGTTTTTTATATTTGTGGGCAAATTTTATTGGGTGGTTATCGTGCATCTAATAATGAGAACACAGACGTAACTATAAAAAATAGACTGCTTCAATTTGCGACGTAAGCGGAAATTACCACTCGAGTGGCAAGAATAAATATATTTAATTTAAGCTTATTCCTTATTCTTATCTAATTTGTTCCTTTTACTTCTGATAGAAACAGAAAAAATTTTTTTTTATTACGTTATTATGTCTGATTTGCTTAATACATGCTTTTTGTTGTGACAATCGCGCACGTGTATGTAGAAAGGAGGGGATGACATCCAACCGGAACTCTCTGATTGGTCAATCTAGTAAGAAATCTCAAGCACCAAATCGCTGTAATTGGTTGGATTATCTCAACATGAATACGCTGCATGCTTCCGGAATATGTAATCGTGAAAAAATAATTTATACGTAAAATATTTTAGATGAAAGGATATACATAGGTAAAAGGGATGAAAATTGCTTATATTGTGTTCATCTTTTTGAACAAAGCAAAAGTACAAATGAATTGAAAACTCTTTTATGATCAAAAAGAAAAAAATTACAATTATTTGAAAATGTTAAATTATGTAAATTAAAAATATTTTTTACACATATTTATCCAGCTACATTTAATAGTTTTCTGAGATCTTTACTGATAAAAATCGGTAGCAAAACAATAATTATTGACAACCTTTAATACATCACGATCAGAAGCTATCTGTAATAAGACGGTCTCGCACAGCCGTGATAATTCTATATCTTAAGTATTAAAAATACACACCTGCTTCTGGTAAAAATAATATAAATATTTACACAAAGCTTCTAAAAATACCTGAGCAACAATTCAATATTATAAACTTTTAGAAAAGAACACATTATTAACACTTTAAATGTTTATGCATATTTTACTTAAAAAAAGAATAGAAAAAATACCCTCGCTTCCCCCAATAAAGTTAATTTTATCAATATAATATTCAGTCTGTTTGTAAAAAAAATACAGTATTACATACAGATCGGATCCCTTTGGTAAAATCTGTCCCTTGATTTATTACAAATTGATGAAAAAATATTGTCTATATTTAAATTCAATCTCTAACTCGGAGGCCCCAAATACTGGTTCTTCGAATACCAACTGTTGGTCGTGCGACGGAGCTATAAAGATATTTGTTAATTTCTGGCACTTCACGACAGTTGGCTTGTAATGACTTGAGCACAGAGTCCGACATCAAGCCGAAAACATCTAAATATAATAAACATGGCATGTGAGCTAATCTTATGTATGCAGATTGCGGAATGCTATAGCAACGGCTTAACGATAAATGTTCTAGTCTTGAAAAATTTAATAAATTATGAACAGTATGGATTGTAAGCATAGCACAATCGCTCAAGTCTAATTCTATAATATCAGGACATCTTCTTGACAAGTCCTTTACATCTGAAATTAGAAAGAAAAAAATATTTTTTTTAAATATACATGTAAGTGAAAGGGACTAAATAACATAATTAAATAACATAATTCATTTATATACTTACTATCATCAGTCAATGTTTTTCTACAGCCTGCTATATTTAAGCGTATAATAGATGATGGCAGTGTTTTACAAAGTAGTGTCATACACTCGTTATCCAAAGAACACCATGCCATATTGAGGGTAGTTAAGCTAAAATATAATTCATCAAATGTGTACAAATTGACTGAAACTTAAAGCATATGTATACAGAGATAGATAATCTTACTTGTTGAGTTTCATTAAATCCAAAATAGATCCAGTGTTTATATTTTTGCACATTGTAAGATTCAAAACTTCTAATTCAATGTTTTGACTAATGGCTTTACAACAGTCTTTGTTCATTATGCAATTTTCCAGTGATAATTTTTTCAAGTATTTACATTTAGATAATAATGCGGCTAAACCGGTTGGCGAAATAACTGCCATGGATAGATCCAAATATTGTAATTTACTAATATACGAGTCATTGAGAACTTCGCTGCCCTCGCAAAAGATGGGATCCGCGATCTCCGCTTGTGCTAATCTTAGAATTTGTACCCCTCGAGGCAATATATAACCTAATGTACCCTCGCTTAAAACTTTGCTACTTAAATCTAATCTAGTCCATAATGCTTCATCGCGAGCTATCTGGCACCAACGTTTGCATACAAACATGGAACGTACCTATATGTAAGAAATAAATAACAATTATGAGTTAAACATATTGTATCTATAATATTCCAAAATATAAATATTTTCTTACCAAACATTTTTTAGGTAGCCACTTTAATATCATCAAAATTATTTCATCCGATAGCTTGTTAAACTTATCTTCCCCTTCGATGGAAGGTATTCTTTTTCTCCTAAACAGACAAAAATGATCTAAAGAAGTTGGCTCATTCTTATCAACAGAAGCATTCTCTTTAGTAAAATTTGCTTTTAAATCCCCAAAATAATCAGCTTCCATCTTTGATGAGTAGCCAGACTCATTTTCTACACCACTAAAAGCAGCTAGCTCATCCAAATCGTATGACTCTTGATGTATCCTGAATAATAATCCAAGTGAGAAATAAATAAACAGATACTATTTAAAATAAATTTCCTTTTCTCACCTCTCTGTATTTTCCAAACTAGAAGTTGTATAAACTTTCTCTTCATATTCAAAGCCATCAATTTCATTTACTGATAATTTTTTGTTATTAATTAAATTTGCTGGTAAAATTATGCAGTCTCCAGATGTTTTTTCACAGTTCACTATACCATCTTCCAACATACTAACTCCCATATCCTCTAAGATTTCAGGTTCTATGAGACTGGCATTTCCAGAATATGACCATCCTGTACTACTTTGAGACTCGCTGTTGACAGTACTGTTTAGATTGTTATTGCAGCCATCATCCAAACGTAATCGTTTGCTGCAAACACAAAGGATTCTTTTCAGTGCAACATATGCGTTTCGCCATATTTATAAATTAATTAGAAATAAATTATATGAACCTGCTCCACCAAGGTGATGACAAAGAAGAATCTTTGTTCATTATTATTTTATACATATATATGTATATATCTGTGAGTTCTTTTTTTTCCGAATTCTAATATTAAATTCTCACAGCAGACTTTTAAAAAACTGGACAAATACACTGCAGATGAAAAGAGGAGATAATGCTTGGGTTTTGCAAGTTATATTAGTTGTACTAATGATAAAGATCATACAACATGATATATTCATCAATTACTTTCAATCTTCACTCTTACTTTCAATTACTTTCAATTTACTTCTCACAATTTATTTTACTCAATTGTACTTTTTTTTATATATGTGAATCCATCATTTTTTAATAAAAATAACATCCATATAATAAACAGCAAATAAACATACAAACATAGTATAATTTATACAATTATGAGCAAAGAAGGAACACAAACAACAACAACAAAATTATTTCCTACATAGATTAATGTTTGCTCCAAAGTTCACATCTATCGAATACGTGTTATTTATTTATTTATTTTCTTTATTTTCGTAGAACTTTTGTTTGCTCGAGGTATCAAATCTCACAGGACCGATAACTAAAAAAAAAAAAAAAATCAGAAAACTAAAAATATTTCTCCAGCAGGATCCCCGGATATCGTTGGTTCTCTCGAACTGTAAGTTTGCCCGAATAACTGAAATTGATTACTGATAAAAACACAGGAGGGAACTTGCGACACCTGAAGGCTTGGAAATTTTTCTTTAGCGTCAACTCTCGGCCAATAATATCGTTATATCGAGTATTTCGCTGGGAAAGACAACAAAGTAACAACGGTCGATCGTACTTTTTGATGCCGTTTGTGGCGTCCCTTAAAAGTCAGGCCAGTTCAGGTCAAGAAAATACGAATGCACATCTGGAGGAGAAAGAGGGAGAGAGAGAAAGAGAGAGAGCGAAAGAAAGAAAGGAAACTCTTTCAATTTTACCTGCGGCAACGAACGAGCGAGCACGCGCGGGTGTACTGAGATTTTCTTTTTCTCCCTCCCTCCTCCCCTCTTCCTCTCGAAAAGCAACAGGGTGTGAGAGATAACCATAAAGTAATCGATCGAAATATATAACCTCGGGGGATCAAAATTTCCCTCACCTCTCGGGCGGCGAGAATTCCTCCGCTTTCGACAAACTGGCCTCCTCGTGAAGTCGCACGTGCTCAACCACGGCCGAGTTCATCATCCTCTTCCTCAGTTTGTATCCAGCAAACCACCTACGAGACGATCGCTCACTAACGGCTGCCGGCAGCAACGAGCGGGACACGACTGGCAGGTTGGCGAGCCGGCGCGGCGAGTCGCGGCCGCTGATTGGTCGGCCGCGAAACGGCGGGAACGCAGCGATCTATCGAAGCGGCGAAAACGCGCGCTCGCGCTTGCGCGATGCGCGACAAGACGCGCTCTCGCCCGCGAGACGGTTGTGATTTCGCGCTCTTTTCTTCAGTGGTTTTTCGACTTTACGTCCACTTATCCCGGGTAAATATACTATTTAACATTATTGTTATTATTACTATTGTTAGGGATTAATATCTTATCGCGATATTTTATCAATTTGCGCGCTTATTTGAAGGGAAAAAATACCTGTTCTAACCATAATTCAGTCGAGTTTTCCCATCAGCTGTTTTCTCAGCACATTTCGAGCGTGTGTTCATCCGACTTCAACAATGTTTTCTTTTTTTTTATCTTTTACATTATCGGTTTTTATTCTTTATTTTTCATATATATGAAATGTGAAATAGTAAAAGAAAATAGAGAAGAGGAAATAAATGGCTAAGGACAAACAATACAGAGATCTGACTGCAAAATATTTATCCAATATTTTTTTGTAATATTTTGGTCAATGTCCTTATTATAAAGTTGCTTCTCAGTTCCTCTTTATTCTATTGACACAAATGATGCAAAATCAAAATGTCTAATTCTAATATAATGATAACCAATGTAATTCATTGGCTTTAAAAATTACACTATTAATTGGTACACATTTTGATTTATTAGATTATTATCACTGAACTACAATTATTGCACGACAATTCATAATGAATATTTGATAAGAGTATTGATTATATCTTCCGTTTATTGTTTAAGACCCTTCAAATTTCGATCCTCGGCGTAAATTTTCATCTGGAAACTCACCAGGTCCGACGTTCTTTTATGAAAATTGAATCGCGTGTCCTTCGGCTGTATCCCCTTGTCGTGCCACCAACCATAACTGGAAATTGTCAGAATTCATCGTTGGAGCGACAAATAATGAAGAAATTGACGGTGCTAAATTGCGGAAAAAATAAGAATTACGTGTGACTGGTCAACAGTGGTAATTGATAAAGATTCCTCGGATTTCTATCCTCTTCCGCAGCGATTCTCTCGAGCGTATCGCTTACGTCTGCATTCCGCGCGTCCTCGAGTTCCCTCGAGTAGAATTTCGGCGTGACGAAGTTTGCTGTAATTTATTTGTACCTCGCGTGCGCATTTATTCAGGTTGTATTACGAGAATTCACGGGAATCGAAAGCAAAATGCGACTTTATTACAGATATATAAACAGATATCATTCGAGGGAATTTTGTGACGGATAAATATATTTGTAATTTACATATAAAGGGGCAATTCCTTTAGCAGCTTTCTCTTTGTACACAATATGTGGACAAACTAAATAAAGAATATAAAGATTAAATATCGTTGCATGCGCAAAAAAGAAAATTATTAATCAAAAGAAAAATTTAATTATCGAAAACTATAAATTAATTTACGCCTCTTTTTTTTTTTAACCATATAAAAAATTATTGAATCAGAAAACTTATTCGCAAATATGTATAATCAATTTAAAGTTTCTTCTTCGCGACAATGTATGCTTTTTCTAAAAATGTATCTTTCTTTTTTGTTCTATAAATTAATTAAAATCGCACAATCTTATTTAAGAAGACTCGTTGTAAATTAACTTTATAATGAAAACTTCTTTATGTTGGGTTTCATTAATTATTAATAAACAACTTTCGTTAATTTTAATATGAAAAAAGAAATTATTAATCAGAGGAAAAGGAATAAAATATAATATAAAAAAAAATATAATTATCGAAAACTATAAATTTACGCCTTTTTTAAACTTAATTTACGCCTTTTTTTGTTCTATAAATTAATTAAAATTGCGCAATCTTATTTAAGAAGACTCGTTGTAAATTAACTTCTTTATGTTTCATTAATTATTAATAAACAACTTTTGTTAATTTTAATATGAAAGCTTCAAAAGTTGTGCAAATTTCTGTCATTGACATATATTATTATTTGAAATCAACATATCACAAAGTCACCGGATGTCTTTCTAATTGCAGATTCTCCCAATTTAACTTTTGCATACTTGACGTATCTTCAACGACTTCAAGAGATGAAGACGTACCATTCGTTTTCGATACGCAAGTGTTGGATCTTCCGGTTTGTTGGCTTCTCGAGAAACACAACTTGAAGGGTGGTCTCTCCTTTTTCGACGTTACTGGTCTCGAATCGTACGAATCCGTTTGTTGGTCGGACATATTTTGAAAATACGACGACAAACTTCCGCCCCGATTGTCCGCCCTGACGATCCACGACTGAGTGTCTCCGCCTAGGATTAAGGCCGTCGAGGACGTGCGTGCTGCGACGTATGGGAGTCACCTATTTGATCGATATTGCCTGCGAAATAACATTGTTGGAAATAAGGAAACGTGGGTGACAAAGCGTCCTCGTCTCGAAGAATCGCGTTGCATGCTTATTATTTTGCACAAGGTAACGTTGTCGCGCTATTTCTGACAGCTGTAAATAAAATTCTCTGCAAAGAAAGGAAATGAGCGAAAATTAGATTTGTCTATTCTAGATCGGGGAGATTTCGAGGAATGTAACGATTTTTCATACTTGCCTCTCTCTTTATTTTTTTTTCAATTTTTTTTCCATAATTCATATATTCCAGTAAAGTATGTGGCTAATAATGGTTAAATCTGACGCACCGATATTACAAATCTTTCGATTCTCTTTCGCGTTTTCCTCTTATCGATCTTAATACCTGTTCTCTTAATACCTCTTATCGTTGTTAACATCCGCGCGTTATCTCTGCTCATGCCTCTATTTACCGATTTTAAACGTCTACGTCTCAATGAATAAAGTTCTCGAGAAGAGAAAAGGCGACTGTTTTTTATGTTTTTCTTTTTCGCACAAGAAAACAAAAATATCTCTTTCTCTCCCTCTCTTTCTCTTTCTCGATAAAGTTTTGGTCTTACTCACGTGCTCTCTCTTTATCTCACACACATACTCTCAGTCTCTCTTGTACTTGTCGTTCGTGTTTTCTCGTATGATACAAAAAAGAAGTATTTCTCTCAGCATCCTCGTATTGACTCGCAATTATCGTAGGATTACAGAACGTTACAGTCGTTACGTTTCCTTACGTACAACTTGTACGCGATAATTACGTCTAAGTAAACTCGCTTCGCAACTTTGTAACGTTTTGTAAATTCTCCAAGATCGGCCATTGATATAATGTTAATTCACATACATCGTCAAATATCACGATCGTTTCTCTCAAGTTTCTCAGTACTTTGTACAGTATCGAAGAACTAAGGTTCTAAGAACTCGATTGCATCACCACCTTGGTAGCAATGAGAGATGGTATAGTGATACGAGAAAGCTCGCGATATCATTATATGGTGACGTATGAGTCGCTGTTACTACGGACATACTATTGATATATGACAATAACTCGGTTGTTGCGTAATCGAAGAGTACGTAGCAATTAGAGGATCACCCTGATGACATTCTCTCAATCTTTCTCTCTCTCTCTTTCTCTCTTTCTCTCTCTCTCTCTCTCTCTCTCTCTCTCTCTCTCTCTCTCTCTCTCTCTCATAGAATAGTTTCAAGATTTATCAACAACGGATCTCGTTAATCTCGAAACTGTGTAACTGCAATTAAATATCGAAAAAGGTCAACAAGGTAGATTCTTATCACGCGATCGCTGGTTGCTGATTGATATCGAGGACGAATTTCCTTACGATTTTATCACGAAGAGCATCTCGAGTCCTTATAGAAAAATACTTGAGATCTTGTCAAGGATACCGGAGAAGGATTTTATGGTTTGCTTCCCGATCGTTTCGACGTGGGACGATGGGAAGCGTGTTGCGCGATCGGCAGTGTTTCTTCCGGATAGGAAGATTAGGTATCTTCCCTCACCGATTCCTTCTTATTTTTGGTTCCTTATAATTGGCCGTATTTAAATTGCGTATCCAATTTAATTCCGGTGAAAGTATCCCCACAGCTACAATATTTTTCTATAGGATTTTAACTGATCCGAAAATATCCTTCAGCTTTCAGTGGAGCTTTTCGTTGTTGACTGAGGCTAGTGAAATGCGACTCTTCATTTCCAAGAGGAGAATAAATCGGTATCATTTCCTTTGGAAAAGAAACGATTCGATGGATCAATAACTAGAAATCGGTCGGATATATAATCGAATCTTTATATCTTTAGCAAGAGACGGGAGACTAGGCGATATCTCTCTATTCTTTCTAATGATTGGCGTGAAATGAAGCGATCAATTTAAAATATAAAAAAGAAAGAGTATCATTATCTCCATGATTAAAATTGATCGACAGAGAAAAAGTAAAGGAAATTAAACTTGCGGACTTTCGAATAATTAAAAATAGATAGATGTGTCGAGAATAGAGTTCGAGATACGTCGATCGTATATATCCGCCCGATCGTTTTCACCGATGTACAGAGTGTCTTATAAAAAGTGTAAAAAGCATCGATATAATATCTCGGAATAGTTATAGTCGTACCTCTGTATTTTTGGCCCATCGAGGCCCAAACACTTCCCACTATTCTCAATACACTCTCTCACTGTCTCACTCTTATTCCCTCCCCACTTTTGTTCCAATGTAGTCCATGCGAGTGTCCGTGAAAATGTCAATTTTTTTTTTTTTAATCACGCGCACATTTTCATTCTAGGTAGCCAGAATCGCAAAGAAACGGGGGAAGATTCGTAGGAGCATTCAGACGAAGGACAAGAGTTAAGAATATAGAGGTTCGACTGTATCTCGGGGAAAAGATATCACGAACTATTTAGAGTAGGAATGCGACATTTCACTTTTACTTCTTCTTTTACTCGAAATGACCTTCCCGACGAAAATTTGTTACGCTCGTTAGGAGACATCCCGCGTATCTGGATGTTAACACGAAAGTTTAAGGATTTGTACTCGTATATACGCTTGTGGCCGACTGGAATATCGACGCGCAAGGACGGCGTGTACGTACGAAATTAAATCTGATGATCTCTCGGTCATCTCTCACGTCAGTGTGCTCTGGAACCGCGACCATGTCGAATTCACGTTGTCCCTGCCGGAATAGAAATGCGTCAGAAATCACTCTCGAGTCGATCTGCCCCGACATATTATCCTAATTTAATCCAATTATAAATTTCTCACTTTCGCGTCTACATTCTACTTTTAACGAATTCTTTCGACATGGACACGATTTTACACAAATCTACCTATGTCTTGAGCTAAGACCTCTCTAAGTTATCGTACATAACTTTACGAGATATTGTGAGACGTTAATTCTCGGAGTCTCGAGAGCGAAATTTTCAAATTCCAATAGGATATATTTTATTTTATTTTTGGCTAATTTTTATCTTCGTTTTGCATTTTATTTATCGATAATATTGACCTTCCGAGAATTAATCGCGAAAGAAATTTAACATTCTTTCTCACGTGCTCGCTTATGTATCGCTTATATATCGTGATTTCTCTGAGATTAATTCGACTGACATGAGCGTCTCGATCACAAAACAATGGCTTTATCGTACGCTAAATAAATCGTGAAAATAAAAATAAAGTGCAATATCGAGGGATGCCTGTGCATGTGTATGTGTCAAGGAGATTATGTAATAAAGTAAATTTTTTTTAATATTTCACTTAAAAAATATACATTTTAATGATCAATCATGAGGGATTAATGACAAAGTTTTCTTTTTCTTCGAATCACGCCATTGCCTGGTTGTTCGCAATCAGATTTATAAATAATTCGAGTCGTAGGAATTGTTGCTCGGAAATCGAAACCAACTCGTCTCACGCGAGCATTTTTTTTTTTCATGGACGCGATGATTGTGAATCGTGGAGCGATCAACATGTTTTACATAGTTTATAGATATAATAAAGGTTCTTTTGTACGTTCGTAATATCCAGTCTCAACATTTACATGTTTCGCTAGGCTAAAACGCGCGCCACTTAAATACGAATAAAAGTACGTCGAAAAATTAGCGCCTCCTGCTCACGATGTGACTTGCGATAAGTAACATTTAGAATTCGACAATCGCTCTTGTTTTATATGCTTGAAGAAGATACCGGTGGCATGGCAAACATTTCATTTTATCGGTCAAATTTTACGGTAAAATTGAAAAGAATCTCGATTAATTTCCTTTACAGAAAAAAGAAAGAGGACGGGAAAACATGCGTGTTGAATATTTTTCTGTAACATAATAGAAAATTGTACGTGAGCTCGTTATCAAGTGGATTTTAGCCCTTGACCGTTTTCTTTTTTTTTCTCTCTCTCTCTCTCTTTCTCTCTCTCTCTCACTCTCACTCTTTCGCTGAACTGAAGAGCGACTCCGGTTTACAAAAACATCTAATACTAAGCAGTAAGATATCGCACCAAACGCAAGAAACGAAAGGGAAGCTATCGCACTCCCCGATACCTCTCTCGGAATAATTTCCAACGAAATGTCGAGAGAGAGCTCGAGAATGCGATACGGCCGCTTCCCTTTCTTCGCAATCTCCATGTCTCCTCAACCGTGTCAAAAAAATATATCGTTATATATCCTACATACAAGTGGGTATGAAAAATAAAAAATATTTTTTGGCCATTTTCCGTTTTATAACAATTTTTTTTCTTGGGACGCGTGGAAGAAGGGAGCGTGTGACGTGGGAGAAGGGGATGCGGAGGATGAATGCTTCGATAATACGAGGACCCGGGAAGTGGAAAATCGATTTTAGACAAGATCGCGAAAAGGGGGTGTCTTGTGTTGGAGGGATGGAAGGACGAGTGTGGAAAGATGCGGGGGGAGGAGGGAGATGAAGGGAGTAGGGTAAAATTCAGGGAGCGCTATCGATCTACTCTTTTTAGGATATAGGCACTATAGCTACTAGATAAATCTTATTTACATTCTGCAAGTTTTTTTTTTCTCTTACTATCCCACTCTTCGATCGATATATATATATATATATATATATATATATATATATATATATATATATATATATATATATATCGACTACGATTACAAGAATATGAAAAGTGCGATCGAAATCTGTTCGTGTCGAGTCGCCGCATTTTTTTTATTCTCCGACAGATTGAATATTCATCTGAAAGTGAAGATCATCTGGCGATGATCTTGCGCGTACAAATAGCCCGTGCATGATAATATGTATTGTTTTCCCTTCATAGAGAGAAAAATGCGCTCTCTTTTTCGTAAAGATATGTGTCGATCGCGCGAATCTCGCGGAAAAAAAGACTCGACAAAGAGAGTTCGCGGGCAGAAGAAGATGAGAGGAACAGGATGCGATGCGTATTGTTCGAGATGTGTGACGTGATCATTATTTTTGTTCCTTTTTTGGAAAAAAACTGTATGAAAACTCCTTCCCTCGCATCGCGGTTCCGTTCTTCCTCGCTTCAGAATCTTTCGCACTACATGGACGTGACGGGCATGACGCGAACACGACACGAACCATGGGTTACATCCTATAATCGCCGCTCCGCAAACAACTTATACAGCACTCGCTCTGCGTATTACAGGGAAGAAAAATGAGAATGATAGCGTTCGCATTTTGCGTGTATGTAGCTGGCCGACCGCTGCGCTATACCGAGTATTCAAACATTATATATGGTCCAGCCACGGCACGCGAAAAGCATTATCACAATTTCAATCTTCGATACATCATTGTTTTTGTTTTCAACTCTCATGATGCGTGCATGTGTATGCGGGCGAACAAAAAAAATCTATTACAAATCGATTCGTTTGTATCGAGATAGATGCGTGAAGATGTAAAGGGATCAAAGTAAACAACAATCTGATACTCTGGTCGGTATGACTCAGCGGTACCTTTATGCTATATAAACTTATGACAAGGTGCTTTTTTTCTTCTTAAAGGCTAGTAATTAGTTTTAGTTTTTTTCACACGTTTCTTATCTCTTCATTCGTTACAACCTTACACACATCCGCGCATACATACACACACATTTAGTGTACTCTCTCGCATTTTATTATACAATCTTAAACTCGTTACGCTTACAGATCTGCGTATTATGGCCATTTGTATATTTTTTTCTTTTCCTTTTATATTTTCTTTCTTACGCTCTGCACACTCCGACATTTACTCCACACGCTTCTTTTTATATACCTTCTTATATGTTTATATATATATATATATTACCTCTTTCCTGTTTCGTCCTTTTATTAAAGAGCATTCACTTATACATTCGAGCTTATATTGATATTTTATACGCACGCTCGATACAAGAAAGAATATTTTTCTCTTTTTTTCGCGATCCGATAAGAAAAAGATAATAATTTTGGAGATTTTCGAGCGTACGCTTAATTGCTTGACGAGTTGTATATCGTATAGAACTTTGCGCAAGACAAAGTAGGAAAAAGACAAGTGGGGAAATTAATTTTTACGATAATTTCTGACACACTATGGCTGATTAAGGAACAAAGTGTTTTTTTTTTTTTGGCTTTGCGCAAAGAGGCCGATAAATATATATATTATAATCTTTCAACATTCTCCCTTTTATAAGAGAGCCCACATTGTATATTGCTTTCCGTACCTCTATATCGTAGCTTTTCTATTTACACGGAAATTTTCAAATATATATGTGTACATATACATGTATATATATACATATACACATATATATATAAAATCTCATTTTTATCTGCGCGCGCGCTATAAACACTAATCTTTATCTTACTGGTACTTACAAAGTACAAAGAAGACAAAAGTTGACAAAAGCCGTACCTGCCTACAGCAAGCGAATGACTTTCTAAGAAAGTTTCCAATGATGCAATTATAATGTACAAACGCATATTACACATTTGCAGCCCTCCCAATCTTTCATCTGTTCTCTTTCAAAATTACAAGATCCTTCCTGAAATCTTGAAGCGAATGCTGACGCAATTGCTGATATTAGCTTTATGGAGGGACTGCATTTTGTAAATTTTACACACACAAATAGCTCTTAACATTTTCTCCCAGTTTTCAAATTGTATGTTTATGTAGAATAATACGCAGCGGTCTCCCAGCTGCCCTGAGTAAAATCGGTCCATCCGCATCAGCAAGAAGTGAATGAGAGAAATGCTTTGTATATGTATTTTTTTTCCTCTAAATCAAGAGAAAAAAAAAGTATCGATGATTTATCTTTATAAAAATCAAAGTGAAATTTCTCACTCAATTTTTTGTTTCACGAATTCGTGCATAATTATAGCGAGAAAAATTTAGATGAATGCAAATAATTTGTAGAAAAAGAATATAAAGCATTATCGTGGATTGAACTAGTGTTATATATAAAACAATTTTAGGGTCAATAAAACTCTACGAAAATATATAACATTATTATATCGATAAATATTATCTCGTGATTTAATACACAAAAATGCGAAATTGCAAACGAAGCTAGAGCAGCTCATTCTCTCTTTTCATCCACTTTCGTGCTTCCACCCTTTGAATGTCGCTCTGAAATCTTGCGTTGACTTACGATCTATCGCATTTCTATTTATCTCTATATATGAGCAAACTATAATCTGCACCTGTGGGCTGAGACATTCACTCGTTTATTTCGTTCGAGAATATATATATATAATATATATGTATGTATGTATATTATGGCTCGAATATACTTGAAACAATATCAAAAAAGCAATAAAAGGAACATCTTTTTCGCCTTGCGTCAATTATGTTCGTCGATTTTTTTTTGTTTTTTTTTTGTTCTTTTTAACTGAAGGGGATTTCGCAAACAAATTTAAAAAAAAAATATTTATGTAATAAAGCATTCGCGTGCGTTAGAATAACACACGAACTATCACGATCACGAGAGTCTTCATCTTTCTCCTCTTTTTTTTTTTTTTTTTGTTAATAATCTGTCTACACGCGTATTTTTGTTTCAACATACGTTTCTGATACGTAGCGAAAGAATAAGATTGCGTCAGAGTCGACGCATCAATGTACTTTCGAATCAATTTACTTCCTCAGAGTGCTTTGCAATGTTGACTCGTTTGCATATAAATGTTGACATATGGATGAATAAAATATTTGAAAGTCGATTTTCCATCCATGAGTGATATAATGTTAGATGCGCGTGTCGTGTAGATAGCTCTGTGCAATATATAATAATATGTAACTGCGTGAGTAACGAGCAACACGCAGCTTTACACGAAGATTAGGCGATGATGATGAAATCAGATTTGTTTTTATTTCCAAGATTATTAACGCGCAATGTCAAACTGTAATATCTTCATTTTTTTTTATCGATAATATTAAATGTTTTTCTTACGTATCGCAAGGTGCACGCTTTAATGCACACTTACAAGTGCATATAATATTATATTATAATCAAGATTTACATTCTAACCGAAAATTTCTTATTTTATATTTTTTATTCATTATTTTAATAATAGCTATACTATGCAATGTTACAACTGTATGTATATGTCACGTTATATTAATCAATTTGCAATTAATAGGGGATACCTGAAATTTTATCTTGGAAAGAAAAACAATCTGTTTGTCATCAAATTGTCTGCTAAAAAAACAAAGGTTTAAAACAAAAGAAGCTTATTGAAAAGAAAGAAAAGATAACGGTGAGATATTCTTTTCGATCATTTTTCGCGGCGAAAATATTTTTTATTCGATTATTATCGCTGTCGTCACTACCGTAAATGGATTGAGCCTGTTCTCGTTATATCCGCGTAGAATCAGAGACTCGACTTACGCTACACATTAGCTTCCTAAGCCTTGGAAAAAAGTATTGTACATCGTTCTCACGTAGCTACAAAGAGACAAGTGATACTGTAATGAGAAAGAGCGATCGGCGGTACTACTGCGATCTCTCTCAGCCACTCGGAGACGCAATTACCGCTTTGCCGGTCTGACGTTCGAGTAGGTCGGAGCGTGCCTTCAAACGGCGCTGCATCAGACGACTCTCGGTTGGCGGTGACAGCCCAAACAAATTTTGCAGCGAGTCTTTGCTTATGATGCGATTCTTACCGATGATCTTGGAATCGTTCAAATCGACGCTGGAGCGCACGGAACACGACTTTTGTCGCAAACCGTCAAATTCGCTAGAAGAATGCGTCGTCAAGTGCTTGCTGTTCTCGGATAACTCGCTGCTCGAGTCGGACATGTGACCGTACGGATGATTGTCGTCGTCGGTCGACGACGTAGACAGTCTAGGTTCCCGGTTCTCCGCCAGCTCCTCGAGATTTAGAGAGAAATGCTGAAGTACCACACGATTCACAGCCATTGCGGACTCAGCGAACGCTGAGAGTTCTCTAGCGGAGTTGTTCCTCCTAAAGACGAATGCAAATGCGTTATATTTTAGAATAGAACGATTAAATGGAAGTGAAGAATGAGGAACAAACTCGACTCTAGGTAAACTTACCTTATGATATGAGGTGTGGTGAGCGATCGATCACCAGTTTCAACGGAAGTCGGCCCGGGATTAATCCAAGAATGTTTCAAAATACTATCGGCGCTGAACCTCTGATGTGCCTCCTTGACGAGCAAGCCTCTAATCAAATCTTTCGCATCCTCGGAGATGCATCTCCACTCCTTATCGGGAAACTCGTATCTGCCCTCTTGAATACTGGTGAACAGCAATTCCTGACAAGCTTGACAATTTTCCCCTCTGCCCCAACCGCAGTCAGTGCCGCAGTTGCCGTAAAAGGGCGGATAGCCGCAGAGCAGAATATACATGATGACACCAAGGCTCCAGAGATCGCAACGTTTGTCGTAATAATTGGCCTCGCCGATGAATGCCTCGACTACTTCCGGCGCCATAAACTCGGCGCTGCCCACTGGCGTCAAAAGTTGCGGCGTTGCCACAGGACTAGACAACGAGTTGTTGAACTTGATACCTGATCCAAGATCAAAGTCGCATACCTTGATTGGCGTCAACTTGTCCGGATACACGCACAAGAGGTTCTCGGGCTTGAGATCTCTATGAGCGATCCCTGAATACGCATACGGAAGAAAACGTGAATCAATATTTTGTCCGACAATTTAAACACTTACTCATTAAATCGCTTCGTCTTCGTTATTCAAAACAAAATTACCTTTCTTATGAAGAAAGTTTAACGCGCTCGCAATCTCTTTGACGATTTGACTCGCTTCTCTCTCGGTGAAGTGAACCCGTTCCTGAATTCTATTCAGTAATTGGCCACCGTTGATCTTTTCGAACACGAGATAGAACTTCTCCTCGTCTTCAAAGAACTCGATCAGCTGTATGATGTTTGGATGGCCCTGGCAATGATGGAACGTTTCGACTTCCTTAAACACTCTAGCACGCGCGTGTCCGGGAATCTTATCGATGATCTTTACGGCGTACTCGAGATCCGTGTAGAGGGACGTACAGGTCTGGACCGAAGCGTAAGCACCCTCCCCGAGAACTTCTCCGGTCAGCTTGTACAATTCTGTAATAACCATACGAGTTGAACCAAATCGATTTTATTAAAGGGAAAAAAGGAGAAAAAACAAGCGCTTGGATGATTTCATGTTGAACGTATTTTAATATATCTATTCTACTATTGCGGCAATTTTTGTCATGTATACTCGACAAGTTTCGCAAGTCGCATTCATAAAAATTATTAGAACGAGAAACATTGCAACCTTTCGATTCCGCAAACGCAATAGATTCATCGCGATGAATCAATGCGATATTCATTTGGCGTGGAACGATTGTACGAGCACGCGATCGACGATAATTACGTGCTACGTCACGTATTGTCACTCGGCAAGAGAAAGAATACAACATTGAATCGATCGAAACGTCCATCGGGGACTCTTTCTTCCTTTCACGACGCTCGGTTCTTTTCCTTTTTTTAAACGCATCCAACGACGGAGCATCTGTTTTTCCTCGACCGGAATAAATTCCGAGTGTTGTCGAGAGAGGAGAGGAGGGAAAACGAAAGAAGAAATCAATCGATTTTTGTCGATTACGCGCTGCTATCGGCATTGTTATGCCTAATTATCCTCTGATTCAGATGGGCTGCGTCTCTCGTAAACGCGCAACGCGCGTGACAGCGCGATGTTGTCCTGCTCCGACGGGCAGTCAATGTCAAGGTCGAGAGGGGGTGGCCGAGATCGGAGCGTGGAACTACGACGCACATACACCGAATTTTCCCTCTCTCTCGGAAGTCCGCGGCCGGAGCTATGGCGCGGCTCCTTTCCTCCTCTTCCTCTCGGAGGGAGGACCCTCCGCGCGTCGCCGCGTCCGCGCCCCATCCCCACCACCCCCGGTCGAGGCCTACGTTGCCGCGTCTCCGCGTTGTCCCGCTCTCCTCTCCCCTCACCCTCTCCCTCTACCCTACAACCACTTCTCGCTCCGATTATACACGTCAGGGTACACGCGCATGGCAGCGTCGCTAGCGCCTAGCAACCAGAAGCCGATAATATGCCTCCGCGAGTCTTTACGTCTCGTGTTTTCCGTAACATCAATTTCAACGGCGGAACAAATATAACGTCGAAGGCGAAAATTGCGCGTTCGTCGACCCACGCATGCGCGCAATTAATGGCTTTCCGCGATTCATCTCGAGATAATTACGTACGTTACGGCGAAAAATCGATCGCTCGGTTTAATGACACGATCATTGTATGCCGTTAATGGTGTAATCCTTGAGGAAAATTGTCTTTGATGGTTTAACGACCCAGTGATCCGCGAGACGAAATATATAAATTTCGACAAATCTCTCCTTCTCTCTCTCTCTCTCTCTCTTTCTATCGACCTTAGGAATAGCGTACACCGTATATAGTTCCAACAGGGGTTGGAAGTTTCTCGAATCGATCGCAAAAAATGATGCAATCGGTCGGGAAATTGTAAATTTGACGCGTAACTTGAAAATTAATATTTTTTCATAATTCAATGTTTATAATTATAAGTCTCCCTTATTTTTGCTTCGTCAAACGACTAAAATTAATTCTTCAAATCAAACAAATTTACACACACTTGCTTTCTAGAATTAATTTTTATAACTTGCATTATTTAAATCCTTTTATTCCTGGAATAATATCCAAGAACACGCGACTCGAACCTTAATATTTACCTCGACTACAGTTATTTAGTTTTAATATACTCGTCGAAAGTTTAAGACCTTTCTTTTTTTTATCCCCGCTATTACAATTGAATGAAATCGAAAACGATCATTATCTCTTTCTCCTCAATTATTTTAATTAATTATTCCGTTTATTACCAGCACGCATCAATATTAATAACTCCATGAATAATTTAAGCGCTCGAATTACGTGTATTAAATACATAAATTATTTACAATTAATTTACAATCGGCGTGTCACGACTCGCAAATCATCCTGACGCTCGGGAATCGAATAAATTGGCAACGCTCCTAAGAGCGAAAACTCGTGCGGAGAGCGAATTCGTGGCTCTCTCTCCGGTGGGCCAGCCGTGTATCGATCGTGCGAGCGACTCCGTGGCCGAATAACCGTATTTGCCAGCTGCGCACAACTCGGATTAAATTCCTGTCCCGCGTTCTTTGCGAGACGTACATACAATCAGTTTAGAGTTTTAGAGGCGTAAAACCACCACCGATTTCGCATTTGTACAGACATTTACATTTTTTTCCATCCGAATTAAAACGTTAAAAATTCCAAATTGAACATAAAGATAAAAGCGATAATTTTCCGCCATTATTACGATTAAATCGTTTCCCGAAGGAAGTGAAAAGCATAATTCTCGGGCCAGGGACGCTCTCGAGCGATGGAAGAGGGACCGAATTTCCGATGTTTATAAACAAGTCGGCGGGTCGCGCAAAATTCCAGGCCGCCTGCGCGATCGATTATCGCCGTCCTGCGCGAGTTTCTCGAATGTTCCGAACACTTGTCCAAGGTCACACATACCTACGGAGAAGACTACAGCAAAGTCATCGATGCGAGGAGGGAGCGCTACGTACGGTGGAGGGGGGTGCGTGCGAATTAGTTATCGAAGAGTAGAGGACGACCGTTCTAATGAGACTTCCGGTCTCTCTCTGTCTCTCTCCCTCCCCCTTTCTCTCTCTTTCTCTCTCTCTCTCTTTTCCTCTCTTACGATAGGAACGATTGCGCAAATTTCTATAGACGAGGAAGCGCTAAAAGTTCTCTCTCTCTCTCTCTCCTTCTCTTTCTTGCTCGGCGTCGATCTGCGCGAATTTACCTTGGAAGCAGGAGGACACCACGGACGAGCCGGAGCGTCTCTTCCTGCGCCTCTTGCGTCTCGCCTCTTCCTGACGAGCTTGCACCGCGCTCATGGTCTCCCCCGTCGAAGCTACATCCCGGCAGGTGCCATCGCCTGAAACACAAAGGCTTATCGTTAGTCTGAAATTCGATATGTATTATCTTTCTCTCGCGCTACTATCATGTTATAAATTATCCCTTATACATGTCACTGATCCTTGTAAATAACACGTTTTTTACTCTGTTTTTGGTCACATATGATGGTTCATAATATCTGTTGAGAGTTTTAAAATCTCTATCAAAGTGCTTGAAAAAAATCAAGAAAAATTTATACATGCATATTTTCCTTGACCTCTATAGAAAATGATCGTGTACAGCAAAAGTTAAGAAATTAATTTTAAACATTTTTTTTATCGATGAAAGCCTTTGAGATTCTATTATTAAAATATCGATAGAATCAAAATGACCTACATATGGCTTTTAAAAATTTCTTCTTTTTTCATCGAATCGCTTTTATTATTTTATATATTTTTCTTTATCAATTCCCTTTTCCTCTCTCTCTTGGATATATATAAAGTTAGAGTTTCACTTATTATTGGATAAATTTTATTCAAATTTTTTATTTCCTATATATTTCTCACTATTAACTATAACGCATGTATTTCCATAATTAAACAGAAATATTTAGTAGAGAAAAATAAATATTAAATAAATATTAAAAAATGGCAATTTCTCTAGTAAATTACTACCTCTATTTAAAAATAGAAATACACATATGATAAAGAAAAATACATGTAGAAATATACATATGATAAAGAAAAATACATGTAGATATAATTCATTTTTATATGAAATATTTAATGAAAAAAGAACGAACTCAAGGAAGCTCAAGAAGATTGTAAGGATGAAAATTTTCCATCAAGTTCGCTATGCAACTAAATATATATAAATAGAGATTCCCACGTGCACAATTCGTCGAAAGAAATCTAATTTAAGATTAACCGTTAAAAAAACCATTCCTTTCTCAACGCAAGTGTGCATCGTAATGACGTGTGCTTGAAGACGCGGTTGCGCAACGTGGGTGTGTTTATTTTTACGAAAACAAAGTAGCTCGCGGCCCACGTGACGAAGGCTCGCGCGTTATCGTTTATTATTGTGAGCTTATCATCGCGCGATTCTTAGTCATTCTCTTCTCTCATTCCCGCCTCGTTCCGATAACTTCCCGTTGCCACGTACGAGCGCGGGCTGTTTAAGAGACAACATTATTCGCGTCCCGCGCAAGAGAGACGCGCAATAAAAATCAATCGGTCCATTGATAAGGCAAAAAAAAAAGAGATGCTCCAAGTATTACGAGAGAAAGGATTATCGCGCACGTCACGGGGGAACCTTGCATTCATCGACACGCCGCTGTCTTTATGAATAACCGCACTCTCTCATTGGTCTCCAAGAGAGGTTTAAAATAATGCTCCCGCGCGCCGTTATAATTATATCGCCCCAATAGATGACGTTGACGCGTCTCCGGCTATTTGCAACGCTTATCGTAGAATAATGCGACATGTCATACGTCGATTACGTAACTCGTGCACGCGTCTCGTTATTTTCCGCGACGAGAAGGAGAAAAAAATTGAAATAAATCGCCAGAATAAATTGCAAGATGTCGTACAAATAACGGAGTAACGATTAAAAAGGGAGAGATGTCGCGGTGAAGATTGCTATTTTTTTTTATTTTTCCCCGATCGCGAATATCTCGGGGCTTTCCCGGATATTTTGCGGGGACAATATTTCCCGTGTAATGAAACGCCCGGAAGGGAGAAGGCCCGGGGGGAGATTGCCCGAATGGAAGGGGGTGCCTCGATTATATATATATATATACGTATATATAGAGGAGGCTGTACTTTTGTGCCCCTGGTTGGAAAGCGCGTAATCGATTCAGCCCGGGTAAATGAAGATGGGAACAATTCCCCGTAGCCGCTCCGGCTACAACAATGCCGGCTTCTCGAAACCTTCGGCGCGTCTCTCCCGTTATCCACTTCGATCTTGGAATTCAAATAAAGCAAGATGATAAAGATACTTGGTTATTTTATCTGTCAAACGCGACTATTTGTCCCTTTAACGATTCGGTCGGAAGAGCTAAAATTGCCCGGAAATCCATCCTCGCACTGAGAAAAATCGCTTGATTGTATCAACAAGATGTATATGATTGAAGGCATTTTGGTTAAATCAAACAAGAATTTCTAGTTATCATGATAAGACTCGATTTTTTATAACTAGAACGTTTCATAGATTTTACTATAAGGATTTGATTAATATTTTCTGGTTGAATCTATCAAATTTCTTGTTACATTAATTTCTTTGCTTGCCTTTTAATTTAACTCGTATTCAATATTTGCCATGAAATGTATAAAGAACTAGTATTAACATTAAATCCAAGGTATTTTTTTTCTCTTACGAGCATTAGTGGCAGAAAGAGGACGCTGGCTCTCCGATTGTGTGTTTGAGCTGCATCCTCTTCTTACATCACTGTTTATCAGTTTAATTTCTAACAAACTGAATTTAAAATAATTTATTCAATAATCTGGATTGGATTTATCCAATAATCTTGTTGGAATTCAAAATATTAAACAGACTTTTGAGATTAGATGGAAAAAATTTTAGACGACTTGGTGCTGGCGAGTTTAGTATTATTAACCAGAAAATTTGGTAAATTTAACAGGAAGAAATTAATCAGATTCATCTGATAATTCCTACAAGAATTCTGGTCCATTTTCCAACAGACATACTGATTGAATCTACCAGAATTCTAATTAATGCAAGATTTTCTCAGTGTGGAATCGTCAAATTCGAAGACAACGATTATCGTTCCTTACAAACATATAAGTAGATTCTGTCTCTTCGCACTTTCTAATTCAGCTACTAAAAATGGACGACTGTCGGTCGCCGATACGAGCTCGTGCGGATAGTTTGACGTTTCCCTCTCTAGTCTATCTTTCTCTCTCTCTCGCTCTCTTGCTGGGAAAGTTCATTCGCGCCAAGGCGAGACCTGGGTAACCGGCACGAGATTCACGATCCTCGTATTAACGGAGATATACAGCGGATATTCGTATCGCCAACCGGAGGGGAAATCTAAAAAATAAACATCAATCATCTCACAGACTGTGTATGTGTGCGTATTAAATAGATTCGTACCAATCATAAGGACCTTTCGAGAATTAAATTATACATGATCGGCGCGGACGTGAACTGTATTTAGTTAAAATCTTATCCGAGGCAAGTTTTTCCATTTCCGTTCTCGTTGAGAGACTTTCGTCGGGTCGATCCTCGATTCGAAAGAGAAGCGTAATTACGGCTACGAGGGAGAAACGGGGTCGGTTTGAATTGAAAATGATCGAGACGTCTGCGAAACTCTGCTATACAGGTATACACGATAATAAGGCGAGGCTCGAGCGGTTTGCCGAGATAACTGCAGCGCGCGTGTATTAATAACTCGCGGTGTCTCCCGAACGATGCGGAAAGGATGCGTGCCGATTGTGTGGGCGGAGACCGCCGCGCGATGTATAAACGCCGATGAATAATAAAATACACTCGCCGAGAGTGCGAGGCCGAGACTCTGCTCTCTGCCACTCCTTCGAGAGCGGACACACTCGGGTCGCTCGCTCGCGTGGGTCGAGGAGAAATCAGAGCCGAATCGAGAACGAGCTCCCCCCCCTTCCCTCGACGCGTAACTGTAAGCCGGTCTCGGGACTCTTCTCTTATTGTCCATGATAATCGCGATGACCGATCACCGGGCCCTCGGTTACGGTCAAGTCGAAGCGTCTGAGAGAGAGGGAATAAAAGAAGCGAAATTTCAAAAATGTCAAAGCTAGTTATATTAATTTAAATCGCGATAATATTTAGCCGAGAAATTCAACGAAACAAAAGTCACTCGATGATCGTGTCCGTCGAAGTGTTTATCGACAGTCGCGATCAGAAGGTTCGAGGATCGTTTAATTGTCATTCGACGCGTGTTCGCGCCGAGACAATAGCCAACACAGTCCCTCGAAACGAGAAGAGAACTCGGGTTTCACGCGGATCCAAAAATAAGCGTAAAGGCGGCGACAATAGCAGCGAATCCGTCCGTCTGTCTCCGAAAATTCTCCCAAAAATCTTTCCGTCTCTCTCTCTGGAAATATTCGGGATTTTCGAGTCCAACTCGCTCCTCGATCTCGTATCTCTTTACAGTCGTCAATTTTCGGGAAGCGCCGCTCCTCCTCGATTTTCGCGCGTCATCATATAATTTCGGCGAATGTATTTTCGTGCGCCTCGCAAACGCGACGTCGTCGACGACGACTGCTTGCAGCGCGCGACACGTACACATCGAATCCACCAGAGTTCAATGACTGGCACAGAAAAGGAACGCCGCCATCTTACGCGAGATATACGCACACGATAATGATTCATCCGCGTGCACATGCTGGTGATTACGCGAAAATCGTCACGTAGGATTTCCTTTGCGTGAAAGCTGTAAATAACATGCTCGCGATTGAAAATTGTAATTAAATTTCCTACAACGCCCGATGGAGATAAGAGAATGCTAGAGTAGAGCAATGCTCGTCGGAAAATGTTTATTTTAATTTTATTATATTTTCATTTTCATTCTAATTTATATTTTCCCTAATGTAATATTTTTTCCTCCTATTAATGGATTCTCCCGTATTCTAAATAAATGAATTTAATTAATAATAATAGAATTTAATTAATAAACGAATTTAATTTTCATTCTAATTCATATTTTCGCTAATGTAATCTTTTTTTCTTCTTATTAATGGATTCTCCCGTATTCTAAATAAATGAATAAATAAATAAATTACATAAATCTACTAAATAAATGAATAAATGTAGCAAATGTCGATAATAAAGTGACAGACTTAAATGTGACCCGAAATATCGAGCGTGCATGAAACGAGTGTTTTACAATTAGCCTCGAGGCCCGCGACGAAGATACACGACTGTGCCTAATAATGTATCATTAATAATTGCATACAAATTAAACGAATAAAGCGCGACGCTACACGAACGTCGTCGCCCAATTAGAGGGTCAGGCGGAAAAGGGAGTATGCATAATCACGCGACGTGCCGGAGCGTGACTTTCAGTTTTTTTTCCACCCGTTATGGTTACGTGAGGCTGCGCATATGTGACGCGGAAATTCACGCGATCGAGTCCCAACTTTTCCATTCCGGAAAATCAGCTCGCCGAACAGTTTGGCATTTTCCAGCTGGTGTAACCGTCCGCGCTAGATTCGTCCGATTCGAGAGCAAGAGAGTTTGTAAAGACTTTAGTTGCGCTCTTATTTTTGCGATGTCATCGGTCGCGTGTATTCGGATTGTCATCTTATTGTCCTTCCTATTTTTTTATGAATATATCCTCTTTTTTTCTCTTGATCATTTCTTTTTATTTGGATGAATATCTCTATCCATTTATTTCTTTTATCGAAAGAGCGCATGATATTTTCAAAGTATGAAAGATATGGTTTAAAGCTTAAGGGACCAATATCTAGCAGTGCAATATTAATTTTTAGAAATTTTTTCGAGGAATGGTAAAAATTGATCATTTTGACGTTTCACATATATTTTTATTGATGTTTAAATAGTACATTACAATTTTTTTTTAATCTTGGATTAGCTTTGACTTTTTTTCGTTCGATACGAATGTCCGCGCGTAGCGTGTTAAAAATACATGATTCGATATGACATTCGATATGTCGTTCTTCGTGTAATTGTAAAAAAAAACTCGATCTAGTATGATTTCCTAAAATATTTTTTAAATATTGAATCCTTAGAAAAAAATGAAAAGTAAAGTAATTTTTATTATATCGAGAAATTTTTTATTTCTTAAAATCAGAAAAATTTATTAATTTTTTTAAATTCTCTTTAATAAGGCTTAGATATCCCAAAAATATTCTATAAAATAAAATTATCGAACCATGCATTAAAAAAAAACCTAAATATCCAAGATTAAAAAATTCTGACGTATTTAAACGTCAGTAAAAGTATAAAAAAATGGCAAAAAAATCCGTTTCTATCGAAAAAATTCATTCCCAAAAATCACTTGTTCATACCGCTAGAGCGGACTGGGCTCTTAATTCAACATTTAACTAATCTTAGTTGTGATCGAGCGGACGTGGCCGTCACGCGAGAGGCCCTTTGTTCGTCGAGCATCGTGCGCGTTTCCCTTTAAAAGCGCTCCGAGCTGACATGCGCGCCGGGACCCTTTCTCTCCCTACGTTCTTTGTTGGATCGCCCTACAACCGATCCCGCGTTCTCTCCCCTACGTGTTGTGGATCCACGTCGCGGCGCCGAAACTCCCGAATCGCATCGCCGCGTATACCCACTACTAACCCACTTCGTTCTCCTTCCCCCTCCGCTTCCCCTCGTCCCTCCTTTCCCCCCCGAAAAAATAATCCGCCGTGCCAACGACGCGTAGCTCGGCAGCGACGTTGCAAAACCTAAAACCCGCGCGTCTCTCCCGTCCCGAAAATATACCCCTCGAGCGCGATTTGCATCGAGGCGCAAAATCTCTCGTCAGCGAGATTCGATCCCAAGGCGAAATAATTTTGCCGACGCCAACCGAAAAAAGAAGGAGAATTCAAAAGGGGAAATTAAATATTCTCATATTTATTCGGGCGCGATATCCTATTTCCTCGTCTCTAAATTCTTTTTCTTTTTTCCTTTCAAGCAGCAAGAATTTACCGAAAAATTTTCGTGCCCGTCAAACGGACGAGCCTTTGATAAGAACACGAATAAGGAACCGGATTGTCAACGAGCGATAGTAATTATGCGTTAGAATTTTTTTCATTTCGTCATTTCATTACGGATATCGCTCGCGCTTTTATTTCTTGCCATAAAACAGCCCGCGTAAAGTGTTGCATAATTTAAACGCTAGGAATATTTTTTCCCTCTCTGCCCTAGTTTCCGCTTTTAGCAGTAATGAAGACCGGTGCGGTATAATTAGCGATCGGCTCGCTCGATTGACAAGCGATTAAAGGAGAGCTCGGCAGGATATGAAAGTGTTTATGTAAACATACGCGAGAGAACGCGTGTATTATTAGAACGACGTTGCGGAATACTTGACCGTCGTTACTTATCACGAGGGGACCGAGCGAATTTTCAACAAGTCGCGGGCATCCCGTTGCAATAAATCGCATCGAGGAATTTCGAGCGCGAAAATTATTTTCATTGGTGATAATAAAAAAAGATCAATACATAATATTACAATAATATTGCAATAATATTGCAGTATTAATTAATATAATAATTATCGAGGTACAAATAGGAGGATGATGAAATCTGTCCGCACGTTTACGCCGAACTTGCATCGCTCGAGAGGATCAACGAACCAAACTCCGCTTCTGATCGACGAATTTAATTTCTTGTCAATTTTCTTCTCGCTTTTCAGAGAGAGGGAGAGACAAGGAGGGGACACCCAGTCGTTTAATCGCCGGTCGACACGCGAGTGTCACTCGTCGATGTCGAGAAAGTTCTCTCCCTGTCGTCGATGCCACGCTTCGTATTCACGACGCGATTTCCGCGACGACGAGGGAATCGTCAAGTCAACGCGAGTACTTGGTGTCCAAGGTATTCTCGTCGCGTCTCGATTTTCCATCGACGATTCCCGTCAAACTTTTTATCTTCCTCCTTTCTCTCTCTCTGTCTCTCTCTTTGAACTTGTCCAAAGTTTCGGCCTCGTAACGAAAACGCCAAGCATTCGCCCTCCCCTCTTTGTACCGGGTCGTTACACATCGACCGGTGAAAATGGCCGCCGCCGCCGACTCCAGAGTTAGCCGGCTCGCAAAACAAACATACGATGTATACGAGGTGTTTCGTAACTGTCGGTCGTAACTTTAACGACGGATTCTCCGGCGCGAGTCGAGACCTTCTTCTTTTTCTCCGCGCCAAGAGTCGACGGGAACATCGACGCGGATTGAAAAAGAGCTAGTGAAAAACTTGGCTTTCAAAACAAATACAAAATAAACATCAAAATCGTACTCTCAAAGTATGGGATGAATCTGTTGAAACTTAATCGGACATCGAGAGCGTTCAATTAGAAAAATGATAAAAAAGGAAAACGAAAAATTCACGCGAAACGAAAACAACTCGAGAGGAAAATTGTTAAGAGAAAATTAAAGGTCGCGAGGATTATGCGTCGAATATTCGACGAGGGGAAAATGATCATTAATTAATATTCTCACCTCGTCCGGCCTCCTGACTGCCGTCCTCTCTCTCCTCCAGGATCTTCTCCACCATGTTTCCTCTTTGCTCGCTCTTCGCTCTCGTCCAACGATGACGTCCGGGAAGGAGCGCCGAGAATATCGCGGTGGGTTCGCACTATCGAGAGATCTGTCCGAGCGTACGTGCTCTCTCGTGATTCGCACCGGTGGCAATAATTATAAAAAAGAGTCAGTCGTATATATACAAAAAAGCCTATCCACTAAGATACTGATATAATCTCCCTTCGGAGCGATTTCTCTCTCTCTCTCTTTCTTTCTCTTACTCTTCGTCTCTTCTTATTTCTCTCGAAGAAAGTCGATGTATATCAGCGTCGATATCACAGATATAAATAAATATATAAAGCCTATCTTTCTATATATATATATATTTATATATATATATATATATATCCTTCCTCCGCGCGGGTTGTTCGTCCTTCCTTTTTCGCGAACGACGATGACACGTCCACAGGTGCCGATGTTGTCGGATTTTTCTTCTTTTTTTATAAATACTATCACAGACTTTGACACTGCACTTTCTCTCGGTCGGTCATCCTCCGCGCGCTCTGACTCTTCTCCCTCTTTCTCTCTCTCTCTCCTCTCTCTCTCTCTCTCTCTCTCTCTCTCTCTCTCCGCCTCTCGGCGTCGCGATTCTTCTCTTGTAGCCGAGAAACGGCCAAGCCTTTCCGTCGATGAGAAGCTAAGTCGTCGTCTGCCTCTCGCCAGAACCTTCTCCGCTGCCTCTGCTGCTGCTGCTGCTGCTGCTGCTGCTGCTGCTGCTGCTGCTGCTACCTCCTCCTCCTCCTCCTCCGCCGCCTCCTCTTCTTCTATCCGCTCCTCCGCAGCTTCCCCTCTGCTGAAGGTTTTTAATCGGATGTACCGGGCCTTTTCGCACGCGAAAGTCCCGCGGTGATCGTCGTTGCTCCGTCGTCGCTATCGCACAGCCTCTCGCACGTAGCGGCAATCGGGCTCGGAAGCGCATTAAAAACCCTTCATCTAACACATCTGGCCTCTCTTCCGCATCACCGTCCCTCACTGCTCGGCAGTTAGTTCCCGACTGAGCTCGACAAGATGGCCGCTCTGCTTACTAACACTCCGAGCCTCCCCCCGCTCCCCACTCCGCGCTCCCCCCTTCCGCCGCGCCGCGCCGCGTCCGCGAAAGCGCGCCTCGGCTTCTCTCTCGCCACCGTCGACCCGCGAATCACGAGGCTCCGTCGACGCCCTGCGAGTCACGTAGGCAACGTGGCTCTCAGATCGCGGCTCCGGATGGAATGATGCAAACCGTGACGCTTGTTGAGCCCCGACGATGCGACGTAAAATCGGAGAGAGATTGCGATTTTGTTTCGCCCCAACCTGCGTTGCTCGCAATTCTCGGCTCTCGGAATATCTTTATTTCCGCCGCTCGAAATCCCTTTGCTACCCGATTGTAATTTTTTTTCTTTTTTTAATAGTTTCGTGACGAGCTTGCCGAGCATTATTGTTGTCTCTTGACTTATCGATACGTGTAAAATAAACGCCGATTACATGATTCGTCCGGCAGGTGTCTCATGGAAGTGGAGGGGGTAACCGATTGGCCCCTTGGCCCGACAAATTCGTCACGAATTCCGATCAACGTCACCCTTTCACGTCGACAAGTTTCCAGAGACGATAAGACTCTAGTTCCGCACCCGCCGAGATAAATCTGACAGGTCTCGGATCTCAGTTTTATCTCTCGCTACAATTATCCGATAAGCGAGTGAGAGTCGCTGACTCTCTCGCCGGCTTCGACCGCGCCATTTTGCGCGTAATAACGCGAAGCGGCCTTTTCTACGCCGTGTATGCGCCATGTACGCGTATATTCGCGGCGGCATCTGAAAAGGGAAAGACGATCGCCTTCGGTTCCGCGCGGGCGGCCTTCTCGCGCTCGACGTTCTCGCCCTTGTTTCCCGTCGCCGGTGTTTTCGGCCGCCGAATCGAGATAAGGACGGCGGATGCCGGCTGCGTCGCACGTTTTCGGCAGCGCGGATGCGCGCGCAGCCGCCTCTCCGGTCACGTACGCCGTGATCGACACGTATCGCGCGGCGGCGTGGTGGGGGGAACGACGCGCGATCCCCCTGGGGGGGGCCGCGTGGAACGTGGTAGAACAACCGAGAACACCGAGAGAGCGAGACGTCTCGGTTGGAGGGAGACGGTGGTCGCGCGTCGAATCCGAAATAATACACGTATAAAGATCGAACGTTAGTTAACTCCTAGGGTTTTTCTTCTAGCGACCGTTTTTACGCGACAGGTAAATATACGAATCGATAAGCGAGGACGTATTTGGAAAACATTTTGCCCCCGTGCGATTTTTAATTATTTCTCTCGCGTAACCGGAATATTGCAGCGATATTAATATTGTAATACTGCAATATTACTGCAATATTCTGATGTCGGTCGATTACGATGTAAAGAAATTTCGAAATTTTTAAGGTTTGATATTTTTGACGATTGTCATCGGATGGTTCGGTAAAAAACATTTTGCCCCCGCGCGATTTTTAATTATCTCGATCGCGTAATCGAAATATTGCAGCGATATTAATATTGTAACACTGCAATATTGCCGCAATATTACTGCAATATTCTGATATCGTTCGATTACGATGTAAAGAAGAATTTCTAAGAATTTGATATGTTTGACGATTGTCATCGGATAGTTCGGTAAACTTGTTCGAGCTGCGTGAAGTTAGCCGGCGGTTCGTTCGTAAAAGTATCCGCCATTCGCATCTACGATTGCATGCGACAAACGGAATAGTATACAACGTGGTCGTATCGAATGCGCGATTTGTTGACAAGGTAAGATACGATCGCGCCAATTTATTTACGCGAGCGCCGCATACGTCCCATTGCGCAATCGCTATCAGCGATTCAATAACCCAGGCTCTTTTTTTTCTCTCGTCTCCTCCTTCTCTTTCTTCTTGTTACGCCGCAATCTCCGTTTGTGCCGTCACTTCTGGCTTTCGTTTCCAGAAGAAAACTACCGGTTGTAAATATTCGCTCCTCTCTCTCTTTCTCTTTCTCTCTCTATCTCATTCTTCGAGGAATGCCTCGAGTGCATTCGATTCGTTACGCGCGTTTTCTCAAGTTCAATGACAGCTGTACGATGACGTACACACCTACACAACGATAGAATCGCTGACCTCTCGAGATTGTGTCTGTTTTTTTGTAAATAATTAAAGTTATACATCTTTGGAAATTTCAAGATTTCAACAATTTTATCCTTCCTCAAGGATATTGGAAAAATGAGAAACGACAGCAAACAAGTTAAATTGTATTCGCTATCATTTTTTTCTATGATTTAATCTGATTAAATTTAATATGATTTTTTGAGAAATAAATTTTCCATTTTACTTTATATACATATATTATTTTACTTTATGTACATATTATATTATTCAAATCACTTTATTAATCTTGATTTTTTCGCTAATTAAAACGTATTATTAAATTAAAAATACGTTGTTGTTCAATTGCTTTATTTGTACATACATATTCTATTTATTTTCAGCCGAAAAATATAAATATTAATATTTTCAATTCAGTCACTTTGCGCAGACACAATACAACCTTAAAAAGATAAATAAATATGCGGGATGAATTTTATTAATATAAAAAAAATAGAGATGCGCGCGGTGAAGATTGTCGATCATCTATTTTTGCAAAGGCATTTTTTTTTCTCGCACACGCCCAGAAGAAGCGTCGTCACGCGTCGTTACGTAATCCCTTGTTGGTCAACAAGAGCGGTCGTACAACGACGCACTGTTATTGTCAGTTCACCGAATTTCGCTTATCGCCCCGAGGCACGCAGCGCGCGCGCGCGCGCGCGCACTTGCTCGCGTAAACACGCGACAGAGCCAACACATGACATATCTAATACGTCTAACATTGCGCGAGAGGAGATAAGTCGCTCGTTCGATTTACTCGCGCTCGCGAATGCGAATAAAAATAGTTGCGCGCTATCGTGTTAAGCGCCAGCGCGGATATCGCGTTCACGCAACGTGAGATTAGCGTTTGCGTCATGTCGTTATCTAAAAAATATCAGGCGATCGATTAATTCGCGAGAGAAAGAGGAAGGAGGAGAAAGAAGTAGGAACGAAAACGCGCATCGCGATAGTTTTAATGCTTGGCCTCATTGACGTTTCGGACGTTCGTTTTCAAGGTCGAGGAAGAGAGGAGAAACGACGCCGGCTCTCTTCCTCTTCGTCTCTCTCTCTCTGTCTCTCTCTTCGGTTTCGCCTTTGGAATATTTACCATCGACTTTGAGGATATTCGTCGGTCGCGCCAGCAAAGTTGCGTAATCCCGTTTGCATTCACATCGGAAATGATCGACTAACAATCGGAATTCTCTGGAGAAACTTATCTTCTGGATCTCGAGTGAGTACTATTTTTTTCTCTGTTATTTTCATCTTTTGCGATGTTGTACGCGATGATTTTTCTTTATTGCTATCATTAATATCCGTTAATCGTAAATTGATGATGATGTTTCTTTATCGTCAACATCCGTTAATTATAAATTGACGATAAAAAATATCGTTTTTAATAATCTGCAAAAAAGTTCTCCCATTTAAAGCTCGATTGTGTGTTTGATGACAAATATATTCATTTATATAGTCATAATATGTAAATAAATTTCATTATCGGAGAATTAAAACTGTTTGATAAGATCAAAATTTTATCGTTTATTAGCAGAATCGCGCGCAATAATATGTGAAATATAATTATAAAAATAATGTTTTATAAATCCGATATTTTTGTCAATTCTTCCTTTCTTCATTCATTTTTATTACAATTTTAATTGTTTAATTAATTAAATATTACATACATGTGTGTGTAATCTCTTTTCCCTATGATATGCGATATTTTTTACAAATTTATTCGTATAAAATTTTGCTTGTTCTGCGATAAACTTTGTTAAATTTAGCGCTTACTAATATTATTATTTATTTAGTTATTTATTCAACAACCGCTAAATAAATAACTAAATAGATAACAAATTTAACAAAATAAATAGATAGATAAATAAATAAACAGATAAACTTTTTTGCAGAGCATAATTATATTAATAATTAACAAATATAAATAAATAATAACAACTATATAAATAAATATTAAAAAAATAAATATATTTCCTATGACAATATTGACCAAAAACTCAACGTGTATCTCTAAAAAATATATACGTGCGTTGAAAGGGCCGTCATCCATCCGATGACCTTGTTTATAGCAAGATAACGTCTCGCTTGGATAGATTTAGAAAAGTCATACGTGAGAAAAGTCTCATCGGTGACTGAAAATTTAAGACTGCCTCTCGATCGAGACGATTCTCTCTCTCGTCGTCCCTAATAATAATCACGTGAACTGGTTTCTGCACGTGGCACGAGTCCGGTCAAAATCGGTAGACCCGGCAACATGGACGTGACATTCCTTCACGTTACTTTCTTTTTTAGACATCTCGATCGAGCGCGAATGAATGAAGCTGCTCTCTCGGCTCGACCGGAAATTACGCTTATCGAAATTATACACAGAGAAAAATATCTTCTGCCAAGAAAAGCGATTACACTCAGTTTATTTTTCTTTTTTTAAGCAATAGTTCTTCAACAAAGAATATATTCTTGATAATAATCTTAAAATATACTCATCACAAGTGTTAGAAAATCTCATTATCATGTACTCAAAAGAAGAATTTATTTTCTCTTCAAGAATATTGTAAAGTTGTATAAAAAAAAAATCAAACTTATTTTATGTCAACTCTTGTAATAAGCAAATCAAATTTTTGTTTTAATTTAATATTCTTGACTAAAATACTGCACTTACTAAAATTCAGAATATATTCAATTAAATTTAATGCTTGTGGTAAACTTATGATATATTTGCGGATATACAAACTTATGATATACTTAAAATAAATAATATTTACTTGAATACAGTATACATTTTTCTCTGTGTATTCTTCTTTTGCCGCGCAAATTTCTTTTTTATAAAAATAAAGAGCACATGTGTCAAGTAAAATATTGGAAATTATTCCTCAACAGGCGAAAGATCGAGGAAGAAAAATGAGGAATCGTTAACACACTCGTTGAAAAATTAACTA